GCGTGTGGCCTGCTCCATGGCGGCGTTGAGGTCGCGGTGAGCCTCCTCCAGCCCCCTGAGTACACAAGCAAAGAGCAAGGGAAGGATGACGCCACGTCAGCTTGCGTGAGTGCATTGTTGTGGGAGCTAACCAGAGCTCGTATTTGACCTCCATGAGCTCCTTCTGGTGCTCTCGGCGGGCTGTCGTCAGCTCACTGCGGGCGGCCTCCAGCTCCCTGATGAAATGAAACACACAGCGATGACCGTGCGCACCCAGGGCCCGTTGAACAATATGTGTCTGCGTTGCCTACTGGTGCAGTGCGCTCTCGTCTTGGAGCCTGGCGAGCTGGTCTTTCACCTTGTTGAGCTCGGTCCTGCAACACAGCACACCACAGCAAGAGATGGGTGACTCCGCTTCGACCAAATGGGACAGGGGGAGAGTGCTCCTGGGTGGAGGATTCTCTCACGTACTCACTGACAGACATGAGGAGGGAACACAACACACACAGAAGGACACAAATGACGGACATTTCTCTCTGTCTGCATTTGTATCCAATTGGCTTACAGCAAGGTGGCGCACAGCTGGCTATCGGCCTCTTGGTCCTCGTGTTCGTGCTCGTAGGCCACCAGAAGCCGCCGCAGTCCCTCGACTCGGCTCTCGCACACAGCCGTCTTGCCCCTCGCCCTCCGCAGCTCCTTGCGCAGCCTCGTGTTGGCGACTCGCAGGTGCTGCCGCTGCCGGGCTTGGTACGCCCCCCAGTCGTACCCTGCCCAGTCATCCTCCTCATCGTCGCCCTCGTCGGGCCGCTGCCACTCGCCGGCGCCCTCATGCTGCCCGCTAGGCCCTCTCTCCCGGCTGCTTGTCCCACCATCCGTCGTGCTGCTGCCCGTCATCACTGGGTGTGAGGGGGGGTGGGGGAGGGGCGGGACCATCGTTCGACGCCCCAGCAGACAGTGGCGATGATGGGTGCGGCGCCGATGCAGTGGCGCCGTCTGCCGTGGGAGCGGCTGGGGCGCTCGTGTGAGAGTGCGGCAGGGGGTGCGGGTGCCTCGTGCACGTGGGTCTGGGCCCCATGTTGGGCAACCATGTGCCTGAGCATCTGCCACCCCTCGTCAGTCAGGCCCGCCATCTGCTGCATGAGCTGTGTTTGGGGCGGATGGGTGTAGACGGCCTCTGCTGCTGCTGGGTGGTGCGTTGGGGAGGGGAGGGAAGGGGGAAGGGGCAAGGCGTCAGAGGCGGATGCGGGTGCCATAGCGGCAAGAGGGGTCGAGTCATCATGTGAGGGTCCAGGATGGGACGGCATGACGGGGAATGTGCCCAGAAACTGACACACATCGACAGGAGAACACATGAGAGGTGATTCCACTGTCTGAAATGAAAGAATTCTGCCTGCTGTGTTCCGTTGCGCACCTCCCGGTCTTCATCTTGCTCGTCGGTCCTGATTGCTGGCGCAGGTGCTGGCACTGGGTGCTGATCTCCACTGCGGCAGCGGTGCACCATTGCAAATTGCATCATTGTGTGCTGGGCGGCGTCTGCTTCATTCAGGCTTGCATTGTCGTCACTGTCATGGCGTTGAAAGCGCCTGGACGGCTCCTCGGCGTGGTTCTTCATCTGGTCTCACTTTCTCCGTCGCCGTTTTTGCCTAAGGGTAAGCGTGTAACACACTGATAGCCGGCCTCAGACCTCTCGCCAAAATCACCGTAAACGGACGACGAAATGAGGTGACAGAGGCAAGGGAGCGTTGCAAAATGGTTTTGAGTGACAGTTTGATCCATGACAGATTCCATGTAAGATTACTCGCCTGGAGGCCGAGTGCGTTTGCGGTGTGGTGTGTTCGCTCGTGTGTGTCTCACTTGTGAAACTATCGCGGTGTCTAGCGGTCTGTGTGAGACGGTATGTGCCTCAGCGCACATCACACATCCACATGAAGGCATGATGAAGCTGCCCGCTCCTTTCATACAAACACACTGGCCGTGTCACTCTCACATGTTCGTTCCGTTCTGCCTGTCCACACAGCGGCCCGTTCCCATCCATCCATCTTTGCATACTGTCGACGGGTTTCACTTGACACATACATGCATGTCTCTGTCCGTTCGTGTTAGTTCATCTGTAGTCAGTGAGGTCATCGCTTCAGTGTCCGAGTGCTGGCCCGACGTGAGGTCTGGCTGGCTTGGGCGGCCTGGCCCTCTTGGCTGGGAAGCGTCGTCGTCGTCTCTCTGCCGCTGACACCTCGAGGGGCACTGGGAGAGGCGCAGCCTGTGCCTGAATACACATGCGCGCACATACAAACATCAATCGATGGGAGACACCTTTGTGTGTGTGTGTGTGCTCTGCTTACTTGGAGCTTCCGGCAGTACTCTTGGCAAGAAGAGCCGTGGTAGAGATGCCTGGGCTTCTCCTTGCTCTTGCGGAGCAGCATGCCGCCAGCCGTGATGCACTTGCAGTCTACACACACGTAAAGATACATGGACCAACCCATTCGATCACATGGCATGAGGTTCGCGTACCGCATGGCTTGGGGAGTCGGTCGACTGGCGGTAGTTTCCCGAAGTCAGCGATGCTCTTGCCCGGCACAGGGAAGTCAGGCAGACGAGGCTCGGGACCTGACCAATCAATCAATAAACAAATTGCACATACATGGATAGACGCACGAATGTGCGCTGAGTGCATGGGCCACATGTGTACTGACCGAGGACGAACGGCGAGGGGGCGGGCGTCGCCACTGCACACGCACGCACGCACAGAGACAGGCAGGAGGGAGACATGACATACACACTCATCTGTTTATGTCTCTCTGCGTGCTGTTGCCGTCGAAGAGGTCGGTGGGTGTGGCGAAGTCGGGGTCTTTGGGTGGGCATTTCTTGGGGAACGGATGCGCGTCGTCATAGATCGAGTACTGCGGCGGGATGAGGTTCGTGTTGACAAACATCGAAAACATAAGTCACACACAAATTTCGTTCCGTTCTGCCTGTCCCGATGGAGTCCGTCCATCTTTATTGGCGCCACGTACTTGAGTATAAAATGTACGCAGAGATGAAAAGTGGCCGATTGGCCATCTGCTTAGGAGCAATCAACACACACAGCAACACACATTGGTGGGAGGGTGCGTGGAACTCATCCCTGTGCCTGTGTCGTCCACCTGTAGCGCCGTCATTAGCTTCGTTCCATCGGGCGGCACCATCGATGGTGACCCTGTCCATGCGAGACGCACACACACACACGCACAGAACGAGAACAGTGTGCTGTCTAGTCTGCCCTGTCTCGTGTCTGATCATCATGAGGCATCATCCTTACCAGAGAAGACCGGCAGTCTCTGATGGTGATGTCGCAACCGGTTAGCCGAGAGAGCAGCGAGTAGAGGTCCGGGTCGAGCAGCTTGACGACATCAATTGCGCGTGCCTTGGAGAGTTCCGTCTCGGCTGCCTCCTGAACGATCCTATTACCAAACACACACTCATCGATGGCTTCCTATTTGGAGGAATGACAGCGTGCCAATTCATTCCCCTTCGGGGTAGGGCCACCTTCCTTTGAATGGTGATGTGGATGTTCTAGAAGTGCTGCAGGGAGCTGGCGCCTCTTCCGGGTCGGCCCTGTTGAACCCGCTGTGGGATGACGTCGGGGTAGCTCCGACGATTTCTGATCAGCGCCTTGGTCTTGTCGGCTGAGGGGGGCGACATGGTCCCTCAGTCAGGTTGATGACGGCAGTCCTCGATTGAGTCGGTTGTGGTGGGGGCACACAGGACTTGCCGACCCGTTTGGGACCACGTCGGGATCGCTCAGAAAGAAAAGCGGTGTGGGAGTCTTGGAAGAATCCGGAAAATATAAAATGTAGGCAGCAATCGAAGTGTGTCTCTGTAACTGACCAAGACAGACACACATCACTTGGCTCGTGCCTCATCAGAGGCTTATGTCTTACCCGAGCTGTTGAAACAGCGGCCTCGCTGTCGATTCTGCTCCGCGTGCGATGCCGCCTGCTACGCACCCTGCGTCCTCCTGAGGAAGATACAAGACGCAGAATGCAGTGTCTGTGTCTTTTATCTTTCTATCTGTCTGTGCTTCGGTAGGTAGTCGATACGTGCCGCTGGCTCTGGGATGGGTGCGTCGAGCAAAGAATGTATGTTCACATGAATACATGCCGCTTGTGCAGTGTTGCCTCGACTGACCGTTCCTCCTCGAGATCTGCGCGGGCGTCCTGCAGCCTGCGCCGCATCGTGCGGGCCTCCGCACCAGCCGCCTCGAGGTCCCTGTCGTATCGCTCCCTCGCCGCACTCAGCTCCTGTGTCACAGACACACATATCCGTGTGTGGGGTGGAGTCCGTGTCATGTCAGACTCACCTCCTCTGCGCGCTTGAGCAGATCCTCCAGGGAATCCACTTCACTCTGGTCGGTCGGACACACACAGAGCAGAGGTGCACGCTCAACCCATCCATCCATCATCTCATACCTCCTTCTCCTGCTCTAGCCGAATGGTGACAGCCTGGAGGTTCCTCGCAGCCTCCTCACTGAGACCACAATCGACAACACACATGGACCACTTGCCTCCCCTCGTCCGTGTCTGTGCCTACCGATCATTCCTCTCGCGCGCTTTGTGGGCAGCCAGCTCACTCCTGCATGACAGCACACCACAGCAGCAGGTGAATGGCTCGGTCTTGACCAAGTGAGACAGTCAGTGTTTGCGAATCGGTGGGAAATTCTCTCACGTACTCGCTGACGACAGGAAAGAACACACCAGACCCACATACAGATACAAGTGAGTGACACATGGGTGGACCTATCCGTCATGCGTTCCTTACAGGAAAGCGGTGTAGTGCAGCGAGTCTTGCTCGCTGTCCTCGCGCTCCTCCTCGCGCTCCTGCTCGTGCGCCTTGACGAGCAGAAGCGCGCTACTCAGGTCCTCCCGCAGCCTCTTGCTGGCCTTCTGTTCCTCGTCGATTTTCTTCTCGGCCGCCTTCAGCCTCTCCTTGGCCTCCCATGCGTTCCAATCGTAGCTGGCCCAGTCGTCCTCGTCGTTGGTATAGCCCTCGTCGGGCCGTCTCCAGCCGTCGGCCTGCGGGGGGCTGGAGAGATGACAGATGAGATGGACAGATGAGATGGACAGATGAGATGGACAGATGGAATGGACAGAGTTTATCGCTTTGTGTGTGTGTGTGGGAGGGGGGGTTGGCACCTTTTCGAGTTCTTTCTCGTTAAGCTGGTTCCTGTGCTGGCTCTCGAGGGCCTCCTTGTCCAACGTCAGCCGCCGAAGGCTCTCCTCCCACTGCTGCGCCTCGGTGGCCTCGAGCTGCCGCTCCATCTTGTTGGGTTTGGTGTGCTTGGGGGCTGATGGAGGTGCCAGTGGCTGTGAGGGGCTCTGATGTGGGGGGCTCTGGTGTGGGGGGATTGATGTGGTGGTGGGCTCGGGGAGGGAGCCGACGACAGCGAGGACGGATTTGTTCTCCACTGGGCCGGGACTTGACGCCTCAGTGCATAAATACATAAGATGCGACAAACAGACAGACACATCATATCATTATGTATCGAATTGTGGGCTCAGTTCAGTTCACTTACTCGTCCTCCTTGCGATTCCGCCTTCATCATGACGTCCACCTGGCCTTGCAGTGACCTAGTACTACTACCTCCCCTCTAACAGCCGCTGAACACACACAACACAAACAGACAGCACCGGACCGACCGGACGGACATATATCACACACATCGGACACACACACGTCGACACGTACATCGGTGTGTGTATCGTATCTATCGATCGATATATACACATACATATGGATATGTGGCAAATTGTGGTGGGCCTGCCTGGCCTCCCTTCTGTATGTTCTCACTCATCGGCTGGCTGTGTGTCTTCCAGTGGCAGGATGGTGTTGAGCTGCTGCTGCTCGACGACCGTGCGCAGCTTGGCCTCGTACAATTAAGGCCACCAGCTCCTTCTGCCGATGCTCCAACGCTCGCACCGATGTCTCGCAGCCCGTCTGGGAACCGGTTGGAAGTGTGTGTGTATTCGGCTGGGAAACAAGCTTGGAAAAAAGGGAAAACCATGAGAAAAAGGCGGCGAAACGTGGTGAAAAGCGTCCCGTCTCGAGTTGTCGAGAAACTCGCCCGCCGCCCCCAGGAATATATTAGCTCGCACCAGAGGAGAGAGAAAAGGAGGACGCTCACCAGTGCACCGTCGCACAGTAGCCATGTCTGACTTCAAGAAGTCGTCAGAAGCGCTTGCAGCGTTGAAACAGACGTGCGAGCGATTGGTTTCTGTCGAAGGGAGCTGCTCACGGGATGATCTGGCTGAGTTCGAGGCATGTGTGGACAGCTCAGCCAAGTTGGAGGTGCAGATGCAGAAGTTCCGCAAAAAAATCGCGGAGAAAGACCCCGACAAGAAGGTGCATCATACACACGACAAAATGCAATCAGTGGACAGTGCGTTTCTCTCTGTCAGACGTATGGTCCCGCAATGCAGCAGAAGATAGAGGCGCTGCTGGAGGAGTTTGATGGATTTCTGGAGGTTTTCGCCGAGCAGATCCAGCCAAGATTTGAGCACCAGCTCAAGCGGCTTCGACAGCAGGAGGCGTCAGAGGCCGCCAAAGCGGCTGAGGCGTCCAAGGAGCAGGAGCAAGCAGCCATTCGGCAGCAGCTTGCGGACACAGAAAAGGAGGAGCAGGAGCGGCTGGCCAAGAAGCAGCAGCGAGATCTGGAGGCCAAGCAGAGAGAAGACGACAACCTCTCGCGTGAGAGGAGGCTGCAAGAGGAGGAGCTGGAGAGAGAGGCGGCGCGCCAGAAGCTGCTGCTCGACATGGCCGACACACAGCGGGCTTTGGAGAGCCAGCCGTACCATCTCATCGTCCTTGAAGGGCTGACAAAGATGGGCAGCGGCCTGCCCCTTTCGGCCATGCGGCAGACAGTGGATGCTCTGTGCGAGCTGATCGGCGGCATCAGCCAGACCCCTGATGTGCTCGCCATGAGGGTGCTCAGATTGCAGGTGAGCGCGCCGGAGGGAAAGCGCATGCACGAATGGACTCCGATTGTATATTTGTGCATCTCCGCTTGTTGGTTGTCAGAACCAGCAGTTCCAGAGCTCCATTGGCAGCCGCCCCGGCTCTCTGCAGATCCTACAAGCAGTGGGCTTCAGGTACTACGAATGGGATGCCTGGGCAAGAAGGCATTCGTGAAGGCATTGATGGGTGGGCGGATGGCTGACTATGGTTGTGATTCAGGCTCAAGACGGCGGACGAGATCAGACCATTGCTGGGCCAGCTGAAGCAGGAGGGCACCGTTGACCCGATGGAGCTCTACCTCGTTATGCAAGAGCCCAACATCGTCGAGCAATACGACACATGGCAGAAGTGGTAGTACCATACGAATGATCCTCACGGAGCCAGGCGATGGTTGGCGTGTGGTTGTATGTATATGTGTGTGTAGGATGGATGGTCTTTCGCGAGTGCGAGACTACCTTCTGGCGTTGAAGCAGCAGCTGACGCGGATGGCCCTGCCCTCATCTGGCCAGGAGGGCGCCAGTGGCAGTGCCGCGATCAGCCGCGATGAGCTGCAGGACCTGTGGGACAGATGCGCAGATAGAAATAAGTGAAGGCGCTTGTGTGCGGGTTTGTCATAGCTCTGTCGGCTGACTGCGTGGGCGTTGGTGCGTGCATCTATGTTGGCTGCATCGAACGGACAGCTCTTTATGTGAATATGTCACTGCAGGTGGGACAGATGCACAGTCATTTCCACGTGTAAATGGGTAGGGAGGTACACAACAAACAGGTCTGTCGATCGGTCGACAAATAGTCGAATGAGCGCATGAACACACGCACACCATCACCACCGTCACCAGGCCATGCAGCCCATAGCTATACACAGACTGCATCAGCCCTTCTTGTCAGTCCGCATCTGCCTCTCGCGCCCTTGCACCTCCATAAGCATATCATCATCTCGCACACGCAGCCGCACCAGCGCACCAGCCACCATCTGCAGCTCCCGCCCACCCATCGAACCAAGCCGCCCCTTAACAGCCTCCTTAACCCTCGCGATGCTCCGCTCCGACACACACCCCTCCACATTCGCCAAAGCGGAGAGCAGCCGACACAGCTGGCGGTTCGACAACTTCCCCTCTCTCCCCTCGATATGCTGCACCAGCTCAGCGAACAGATGGTGGTCTCTCAGTCCCTTCCTGACCCTTGACAGCCCCCATAGCGTGTCCACCAGTGCCTGGATGTCGAGCCACTTCAGTTGCAGACGGACAGACCGGTTCAGCAGTGCAAAGAGCTGGTTCTCGGTGTCTTGATCGAGTGACATGGCTTCCACATTCGCATATACCAAGACCATCTGGCTCACATCGGGCGCTTCAAAGTGACGGAACAGCTGGGGCGATCCACACAGGAATACAGACAGCTGGCGAAAGAAAGGATGGTCGAAAGGCACCATTTTGGAGAACGTCCAGACGGCGTTGCAAAGCCCCCGGCAGTCAAGCCGCCCAAAGTCTCGACGGATGCAGTCTGCCAGGCGGTCGGCGAACCCTTGAGGAAGGTTCTTCGGGTGAGCACCACAGCTGTAAGCCACCATGACCCGCGACAGGTCCTTGACAGACATGTCGGCCATTTCCCTCTCCATGACTGCATCGGCGACCTCTTTGAAGATGACATGGTCCCTCTTCCCCAGCCTCGATAGCGCAAACACAGCCGTGCTGAGCGTGTGGAAGTCCGCACCAGATGCCCTGCCTCTCAGCCGAGCCACAAGGACGTCGATAAATGCGGTATTGTGTACATGCTGAGAGGGCAGAGCCGCGTAGATGGCTAACAGCTGGGCGATGGATCGCGGCTCACATCCCTCCCAGAAAGATGCTGGCGCTTCAGCCATCCACCTGGCCGAGTCCGTGAACACGTCAGTCAATGGCCTGGGCAGCTTCGAGAGGGACCACAGGAGTGTCGTCAGCTGTCGGGGCGTCAGCTTGTGCAGCCGCCTTCTCACAGCATCTGCCACCCGATCGACCAGCTGCAAAGGAAAGAACAGAAGAGAGATGGACACATCCACCGATACCAATCCACCTCCCATCACCTGACTGACCTGCGCTTCGAGATGGCCGCCCAGTCCACCCTCTGTGAGCAGCTTGGCCACGGCCCACACAGCACCCGAGAAAGCGGCCGGCGTGAGGGCGTCATCTTGCTCGATGGACGAGTGCAAGTCAGCCACCAAGGCGGCCAAGACCCGATGGCCTTCAAGCGCCCTCACCATCCATGATCTCTGGTTCCGTCCGTCGGCCCTGTCGACACATCTGGCGATGTGGTAGAGGCCGTAGGCACGGCTGAGGCTGTCACATTCCGCCATGTGGTCCTCAATGAACTGCAGCAGCCGGTGACAGTCGCCGGCCATTGCAGAGATGGCATCGGTCATGGTTGCAGTGCCGGCAATAGCAGCATTGCTGCCGTTGCTGACGGGTGAGGGCCGTGCTGGTGTGCAGAAGTGATGGCGGGACAGCCGCGCAGCCTGCCGACGAGCTGAGGCCAGGAGATGCTGACTCATCTCCCTGGAAACAAGAGGGAGCTCGGGATGGCACTCAGTTGGTCAGTGAGCACCATCTCATTGATCTCCTTCCGTCTCCTCCCTCCCCTCCTCACCCGTGCGAGCTCGAATGCGAAGAGGAGAAAGAACTTGAAGAGAAGACTTGAAGAAAAGAAAGAATGTCTGCGACAGGTACGCCAGAGGGGGCAAGGGAGAGAGGAAGGAGGAATGATGTGTGGGTGGCTGCGTGGGGAGGGATCATGAGTGCCGGATGGCCTCTTCTCACCTCTTTCCTGCCTGTCTGTGTGCGTGTGTGTTCTGTGTCAGGTGCGGTTGTCCCCGGGCCCCTCCCCGAGCCGCCCAGGTATGCCCCCCCGGACGAGCAGCAGTGGGTGCCGGCGGCCCTCAGGACCAAGCTGCCCCCCAAGACCGTGCCGCGGGAGACAACCCGGGCGCGTTACCAACAGTTGCTGAAGGACAAGGAGGTCAAAATGTACGAGGATGCCCTCGCAGAGGCACTCCGGCGTGAGCGGCTGGCTGCCACCGGCGTCACGCCAGACGCCATGAATTTTCGCATCAAATGCGACACACGAGTGGGTGGCAGAGGGCGACTGGGGGGGAAGAGAGGCAGGCGGTCATCCCATCATGGTTGGCATGGTTGTGTCTGGCTGGCGTGTGTGCGGTGTGCAGTTTGGTCAGAACTTGTATTTGGTCGGTTCGGTGGAGCCCCTGGGGCTATGGGATCCGAGCCGTGCGGTCAAGATGACCTGGAATGAGGGCAACATGTGGACCTGCACCGTCAACCTGCCCGTCTGTAAGCACCAAGCACACCAGCACAGAGAGAGAGACAGACAAACCAACTCACGCACGACGCAACCTTTTTTTGCGAATGTGTGTGTACGTTTCTCCCTCCCTCCCTCCCTCCCTCCGTCAATCGATCAATCGATCAGCGATCGGCGAGGTGGAGTACAAGTACATCGTGCGGCAGGACAACATGGTGGACTGGGAACACGGCCACAACCACAAGGTGAGTCAGTGGGTGGACCCACACACAGCACAGCACATTAGCCACTGACACGTCGTGTGTTGTTGGTGTCTGTGTATGTGTATGTGTGTAGCTCAACTCGGTGCAGGGCGGCGTGACGGTGGAGGACGCCTGGGGGCAGGGGCGGGGCTAGGGGGATCATCAGACAGACAGGATTGGGGCGTCTAGTGCGGCTGGCTGTCTGTGCAGTGTGAGAGAGTGTGTGCGTTCCTACTTGCTCTCTGCTACCACCAGTGATTTGTCTGCCTACGACTGGGATGATGGATGGATGGGGCGGTGGATGCCTGGCTGTCTGGCTGCCTCAGGGTTGTGTTGTGTTGTGCCATGTCGTGTCGTGTGCAGCTATATCTATCGCCGTACATGTGGCTGTATCACTAGCTAATCGATCGATATCGATTCCTGTGTACTGGCATTTTTGTCGTCCGTCCCGTCCGCCAATCCGTCTGCCCGTCTCCCTCCCTCCCTCATAGAACGAACGACTCACTCACTCACTCACTGCCTGTCTGATCGACTGACTGACTGCACAACACCTCTCTCTCTCTCTCTCTCTCTCTCGATCGGGCAGGCAGGCAGGCAGTGTGTGCATGCCATGCTTCTTTGTCGGACTGCCCGCCTTCTCGTGACGACTGAGTGGACGACTGAATGAATCAACGAGCGGTGTTGCATCCATCCCATCCATCCATCCCTCCCTCACTCCCTCACTCACTGACTCGACAGACAGGAGGTCAGGCAGATACATGGCAGCGGGTACCTACCTGAGTGGGTGCACGTGTTCTCAGCTTCTGGCGTGTGATGCCAACAACAACTCACTCAGATGAGATGGTCCTTCCTCTATGTTGTGTTGGCGTCACGTCACTCGCTGGGGAGGTCGAAGCACATACCACTGACTGACACACAAACAACGCAGACAGACCAGACAGACAGACAGGATCGAAGGAGGCGAAGCACACATGCATTGCAACACAACACAACCTGATTGGTCGAATTATTGTGTTGGCTGGCTGTGTGGGTGATGTACAGTCTCTCTGTGTGAAACCAGTGTGTCCCTCTGACGTGACGTCGGTTTTGGTTCGGTCTCTCGCCCTGTTGCCTGTTGCGACGCCAATGGACGCCAGTGGGGTCCTCAGCCCGGGGAGAGCCGGGGATCCGCACGGCGTTGCGAGTGACCTGCTTGCTGTTCATGTTGTGCGATGGTGTGAATTCACTCACTCACTCCCCGCCACTCGTTCGTTGACGCACTTGATGTATAGTTGGTTACATACCTGCCTCATTGGTTGACGCATGCCTCTTTCGTGAGAAGAGGCAGATGGGTTTTCCTACTCGTCCGTCTGCCCTTCGTTTTGTGTGTCGATAGATAGCCTACCTGTTCTGTCTGTTCTGTTCTGTTTTAGCTGTTCGGTGCTGTGTGTGTGTATGTCTGTATATGAGTAGACTAAGTCAGTTGGTTCGCCGGTGTGTCTTTTCCAATCGTCCCTGTGTCTTTTCCAATCGTCCCTGTGTGAGAGAGTGCCTGTGTAAATTTCCGTGCCATCCGATCCGCGTGTGTGGTCCATGCCATGAGAGATCAGATCGTGTGTTGTGTGTGATGGCTTTCGTTGTGTCCATTCCATGCATGGCGATGGGTGCGGAACTGCTGTAGTAGATGCATGATCAAGTGCCGCTGACGCGTTGGTTGTGTCTGTCTGTGTGCGTGGCATGCCGGCCAATGACATCCATACATCTCCTGACTCATTGCCTGTCGTGTGCTGTGCGTGCACATACACCCGAGCCTGGAGGCCGTGTGTGTTTGTGGTGGTGCGGTGGGGTGCTTTGCATACACACGTGTGTTGGCTCGTGTGTGTCTCACTTCTGAACCCATCGTGATGTCTAGCGGTCTGTGTGAGACGGCATGTGCCTCAGCGCACATCACACATCCACATGAAGGCATGATGAAGCTGCCCGCTCCTTTCAGACGAACACACTCGCCATGTCACTCTCACATTCGTACACCTGTCGTTGGGTTCTGCCTGCCACACAGCGGCCCGTTCCCCTCCATCCATCTTTGCATGCTGTCGACGGGTTTCACTTGACACATACATGCGTGTCTCTGTCCGTTGGTGTTTGTTCATCTGTAGTCAATGAACTGATCGCTTCAGTGTCCGAGTGCTGACCCGACGTGAGGTCTGGCTGGCTTGGGCAGCCTGGCCCTCTTGGCTGGGAAGCGTCTTCGTCGTCTCTCTGCCGCTGACACCTCGAGGGGCACTGGGAGAGGCGCAGCCTGTGCCTGAATACACATGCGCGCACATACAAACATCAATCGATGGGAGACACCTTTGTGTGTGTGTGTGTGTGCTCTGCTTACTTGGAGCTTCCGGCAGTACTCTTGGCAAGGAGAGCCGTGGTAGAGGTGCCTGGGCTTCTCCTTGCTCTTGCGGAGCAGCATGCCGCCAGCCGTGATGCACTTGCAGTCTACACACACGTAAAGATACATGGACCAACCCATTCGATCACATGGCATGAGGTTCGCGTACCGCATGGCTTGGGGAGTCGGTCGACTGGCGGTAGTTCCCCGAAGTCAGCGATGCTCTTGCCCGGCACAGGGAAGTCAGGCAGACGAGGCTCGGGACCTGACCAATCAATCAATAAACAAATTGCACATACATGGATGGACGCACGAATGTGCGCTGAGTGCATGGGCCACATGTGTACTGACCGAGGACGAACGGCGAGGGGGCGGGCGTCGCCACTGCACACGCACGCACACACAGAGACAGGCAGAGGGAGACATGACATACACAGTCATCTGTTTATGCCTCTCTGCGTTCTGTTACCGTCGAAGAGGTCGGTGGGTGTGGCAAAGTCGGGGTCCTTGGGTGGGCATTTCTTGGGGAATGGATGCGCGTCGTCATAGGTCGAGTACTGCGGCGGGATGAGGTTCGTGTTGACAAACATCGAAAAGGCGCACATCGGCGGCAAACTCACCCTCGAGCACGGACCCCTGCACTCATTAACACACATACGCACACGACACATGCAGCCAGCGTGTCTGTGTCGCGTATGTCAGTCACCTGACCTGATGTCGTTGAACCAAAAGCCAGGGCACATGAGCAGCGTGAGGATGCATTGCGGGAAGCAGAGGGGCATGCCCATGACTTGGTGCTGCACATACATGACAGAGCGAAGCATTAATGACATTCATTGCCCTGCAGTGCAGTGCAGTCGGGGTCTTCTCCCCCTTCATCGCCTTACGATGCCCGGGGGGAAGAAGCACATGAAGAAGATCGACGCGCAGTACATGCCCAAGTACGCCATCGCGCACCGACGGTACTTCTTGTCGTCCGTCACGCCAACCTTCGCTCGGTACTTGGCCTGACAAAGAAACCAATCAATCACACGATAGATATGATATGCACACACAGCGTGTGTCTGTGGGCGTCCATCTCTTTATGTGTGTGTCGTACCGGGAATGAGCTGATGACACCGTTCATGATCGAGTCGGTCACGTCGGCCTCGACGAAGTCCGGCGCGCTGATGGGATACAGCACCGACCCGATGCAGTTCTTGCCCGTGATCATAGGCAGACAGGGCAGCGGACGGGCGATCCAGATGGGCGACGGGATGAGCGGAGGAACAATGTCCACAATCTGCACATACAGGACAGAGACACATATAAACACCATCTGCCCATCTGTCCATGTCTCCCTTCGCCCTTTTACCGTCGCGAGCGAGCCTTGCAGCAGGCCCTTGACACTCATGATGGCCATCGTCGTGAGCATGGCGACAGGTGGGACCATCGCGGCTGCAGGTCCGGTGGCCGCAGACAGACTGGCAGTGAGAGACTGACCCAGGTCTTTGCCGAAGATCCGCCGCACCGGGCTGACAACACACAAGGCACACCCGGTGTGTCTCTGTCTTTCCATCCATCCACCTTGGCATTGCATACCCGCCCGGATATGGCGCCTCGTGTTTGGGGTGGTCGCTCTCTGGCTGAGGCGGTGTGCTGTCGTCGCAGTGCGGGCTCGTGGCGTCGTAGTGAGACTCCGACAGCTCCTGTGCGAACCGCGACAGCTCGAAGTCGTCCAATGCGAGTGACAAGAAACGCTCGTACTCAGCCATCGGAAACTGCATGGAATCACACACACACATCAGTGGTGTTGTGCGGTGTTGCGTCTCAGCATCTTTGCGTGCACACAAAGAGAGCCAAGCTCGGAAGCATACCTGTTTGAGAGCCTGTGTGTAGATGGCGTCGAAGTGTTGTCTGATGACACTTCTGTCGTGTTCATCGCGAGCAAACCCAGCCACGAGGTGGAACAGGTCGTTGGCCGTCGGCTTGAAGATGTCACAATTGGCCGGAAGCGACGGACGCTGCACGTCAATCCGGATCGTGTCGTTGGTCGCGTGACACTCCGGGACGGCGAGCAGAATCAACAACGCAGCTTGGCACAACAAGAGCGTCATTGTGCTCGTCATGGTTGTTTGCTAGCTGCCCTGCAGAATGCAGCCAGAAGGGCTTACTTTCGATCGACAACAATCATGTGTCTGTATTTGTGTATGAGTCGATCATACAGAGAGTCAGCAGAGAGAACAGAGCGATTGATTCATTGACTGAGTCACTGATTCACTCCCGCAGACCCTCTCCATCGGTGGGAGACTCATACAGCCGAGGGCAAGTGCTGCAGGCACGCGCCTTGTGCCTCATTCGATGACATACGGGCTGAAAGAGTCTGCCGATCGGTCGAGGATCTTGAGCTGCTCCTTCAGGATGTTGGTCAGCTGCACTGTCGTCAGCAAAGCACTCTGGAGCTCCTCCTACAACCAACAAGACAGGTATGTCAGACGGCAGCCAACTGCCTGTCTGAGTCATACCTGTCTCTTTTTCTTGAAGTCCGGTGTCTGCAAGTCGGCCGTCGAGGCCGTCTGGACGGCAGACAGAGAGACACAAATGCATTTTCCGATCCACTCATTCATTGACTCATTCTCACTTGTCTCTGTCTTGCCCCTTTCCTGCCCCTGAACGTGGTTTGCTTTGGCGGCTCTTACTCGCACATAGCGCACCGAGTGATGCTATTGCCCGGCTGGCAGACGATATGTGGCAGCATCAGAGCATTCACTGAGCGGCGGCAGAGCGCAACGCATACGACAGACATACATACAGAGACGTCGACACGAATACAAGCCGACAGATAGTATACCCGCATTACCTCCTGTGCTGGTCCCTCCGCATGGCCTCATCAGCTGCGAAAGAAACAGAGATGACGAACAAACCACCGATGCCGTCAGACCATACGCCATTTCCTTCTCCGTTACCATACCTTCTCTGCCCATTCTATCGTCCGTGTCTGAACAAAGAAGAGACACAGACACACACACACACACACACAGAGAGAGAGAGAGAGAGACGCAAGGTTCCATGATGCGTGTATGCGCGACACACATACGTACGTACGCACACCTGGTTCCCCAGCGTATCGATGATATCCGAGGCACCAGTGATCTGTGTATCTTTGTACCTGGTCTGCAGCACCTCTCTGCGTGTAGGTGCTTGGCAGGAAGGCTTCGGAACCCGCGGCGCTGCGAGGCATCGCTTCAAAAGAGCCTTCCAAGCGATCCGAGTCGTTTGTCTGGGGGCCTCTGGGGGTCAAACTTCAAGCCGGTGGACTTTCGAAGTTCCCTGTCGCCGCTTCTCTGGTATAGCCTCTCGAATTCTTTCCAAGTAGCCGCTGGTTCGGTTCTCAAACTTTGTAAGCCAGTCAGTCAGGGAGAAAATGGGTCCCTCCTCGCCCTCCATGATCTTCTTTCCCGCAGGGCTCATTTGGCTCGATGGGGAACAAGTGCTGCTCACTCTGGACCGACCCCGACCCGGAACCCGACTGTCATTTCGAGCCCAGTGAGTTTTGCAATGACTGGAAATAAGTGCTCTGATGAACGGCCCTTCGTCTGAATGCAGGCCTTCCGGTTGACGAGAGGAGGCTTGTGTTTCACAACCCCACGGTGCCTTCATTCCCGACACACAGTAAGCGAGCGATGACAGCGAGCCAGCCAACCGACCTTGTCCTCGCCGTCCGTGTACACTCGCCTGTTGCAGGGACCGGAGGTGGCTTTGGTCGCGAACCGGGGATGGGTTTGCACGGTGAGCAACAACCAAAGCAAAGACTGTTTGCTGGCTCTGCTGTGCCTCCAGGACCCCCAAGGCGCCCTGAGATGTCAGCCCTCGGTGGCAGGACTGGGGTGCCAACCTTTGGCAGCGGTAAGCGTTGCTCGTGTGCAGGCGGCTTTGGATGTCATGCCGTATGTGCACCATTGCAGGCTATGGGTTTGTGACGGATTGCAGCAATGGGTTTGTGACGCATACGGTTGGGATGCCTCCGCAGGTGGACAAACAGCAAACGACCAAGGGTAAGGGAAGACGAGAGACGGCGGGATGGGAAGTGTCATGCCTTGTGCATTGCAGGCTATGGGTTTGTGACCCATACGGTTGGGATGCCTCCGCAGGTGGACGAACAGCAAACGACCAAGAGTAAGGCAAGCCGAGAGACGGGGGGATGGGAAGACAGACGGAAGGCCATTCTTTGTCTTGCCTCTCTATCGTGTGTACAGCAATGTTCGATGGGGCCGAGGCGGCAAAAACAGACAGCCGCTCGCCCAACGTTGGCTCAGGTGAGCGCCGCGAATGGTTGGCTGATATGCCCGGCGTCGCAGACAAGCAGCGGTACGGTCTTGTTGGCGAAGACAAGCAGCAGCCGGACAAGCAGCAGCCGTCGCAGACGAACAGTAAGGGAAGACGAAAAACTGGTCATTTGGATCCCGGTGTGTCTCTTCCTTATGTGTCCAGCAACTGAACAAGGGAGCCATTCACATGGGGGTAATGATGCTGGCTGGCTCTGATTGGATTCGATATTCGATGTCTCTTCATCGTTGCAGTGGATCTGCGGCCGCGAGTTCGCGTGCTTGGGGTCAGAGGCGTGGCAGAGTCGCTGCAGAACAACCCCATACTGAACGCATTCGCACAAGAAGGCGGTAAGCCCGCCAGCCCACACATCTCTCAACGCGTCTACCGCCGTTTTGTCCTCGATCGATCGCATCAGACATGGAGAAGTTGACACGAGAGGTTGAGAACAAAATGAAAAACATGCCACTCCCGGCCTGCCTGGATGGATATGTGCGTGAGGATGGAGACAGCGAGGAGCAAGGTGAGCACAGGTGCACCTGTGCACGCACACACGGACGGAGGAATCTGTCTGCATGTCTCACGACCACAGAGGCTGGCTCGGCGGGGGAGATAAAATACAGCGATAGGACCGGAAGGCAACTGAAGGTGGGTCAAGCGGAAACGTGGAGAGACATCGAGAGATGTGTTAATATGCATGTGTATGCCTTGATATGTGCAGATCGCAATCAGGCCGTGAAGAGGCTTACAGGGGTCACGATGTTTTGCATAGGGATCAGATACGTGTGCTCGTATGAGGTATGTACAAGAGGCCCTGCATAGGTGCTGCGTGATCATAAACATGTCGTGTGTTGACGTAAGCATGATGTGCTGTCAAGCCGACGTACATCGCATCCAACAATGAGCACATTCGACTGACGGCCGGTCTTGCCCTTCCGGCCAGTCTCATCGCTCCATCGCACCAAACCATGTCCAACGACTGCAGACACGCATAAAAGTCAGACGGCCAGCCTTGTTCTACATGTCTCCCTCCCTCTCGCCTTGTGCCATTGGTACTTTCATTCAAGGGGGTGTTGCTCGAGCGCACCATCATCACAAGCCCCCAGCAGCAGCAGCAGGCGGCTGCCCCTGACACAGTCGTGCGGACTTCATTCACGCGTGAGCATGCGTTGAGGGCCCCGAGTGTGGGTTGGCAGCATGGCAGCAGTATGCGTGTATGCTCTCTATGAGCCGTGAGTGGCTGTGAGGGTGTGATTGACCTATGGATGGATGGGCACATGTGTTTGTACTTGAGACAGACAATCCGTGTGTGTATGCCATGCATCCATGCCACACGGCACGAGCCATTCGATTCATCCGTTGAGTGGTCACAGCTCATGAGTGCACCAACAGCACTGCCAGCCCCACCACAAAGCACACACACGCTAGAGTGTAGCGCATCACGACATCACACCACTCCGCCGCTGTCTTGTCCGTCTGCACGGCCGCGGCCTCGTGAGCATAGTCGAGCAACTCACTCACACGCAAGCCGTGGTCACTCCTTTGGGCACTCGGCCGCTGCTGTTGCGGGTGTGGTGTGGGGCTGGTTGATGCTGCGATTGCTTGGGTCGAACGACTGTTCCCACGATGTTGAGGTGCCGTCCTGTGTGTCTGTGTCGTCATCAGCCATGGGAAACACCTCGGGATGCCGCACGTGAGAAGACACACTCGTACTCGCACTCGCAGCAGCAGACTGACAAAGAGACAGAGACAGCGAGACGCATACACGAAGGTGTGTGGTTGTGACCTGACCTCCTTGAGCTTCGATAGCTGGAAGGCGAGCTCTTCTGTCGTGTCCTTCTCACGGCTCAGCTCGCGAGACAGCGCGTCCCTCTCTGCCTGCACACATCAAGAAGGAAGTCACGACCTCTCACACACATGACGCTGCCATGTCTCTGCTGCGTGTGTCTGGTGATTCATTCTAGCTGGCTGACTGCGATCCGTGAGATTTCGCCTTGGGCTTCAGACAAGAGGGCACTGTACTCACGCTCAACGCTAAAGACACAGACAGACAGTCATTTGGTCGGTGTGTGGCTCTGGCTGCCTGCCTGCCTGCCTGCCTGTCTATCTTTGTTTCTGTCTCGGCCTCGTATGTGTCGAGCTGTGCTCTGAGGGCCTTGTTCTCCTCCAGCAAGTACGACAGGAAGCAGCCGGTGTCCTCCGACACACGATGGTCTGTGTCGATGGGCGAGTCCTCTCCGTCTGTCGGCTGCTCTGTGTCGGTGAGGTGCGAGAGTGAGAGTGAGGGGGGCTCATCGACCATTGCTGGCTCGGCGAGGAGAGATGGTGACTTGACGGCTGCTGTGGTCTGAGGGGATGTCTCGCCACTCCGATCCCCCTGCACACACGCATAAAGTGACCTGCCGAACATGTATCGTTTGTTTGTGTTTGTCTGTGTGTGCCAATCTCACCGGCAGAAGTGTGTTGAATGGTTTGTCCTTGCCTGTGCTTTGTTTGGCAGGTGGTGGCGGGATGGTCGACGGGAGATGCCTGGTGGTGCGAGACTCACGCTGAGGCTGCCGCGACATGATCGATGCCTATCGATATCCACCTGTCGGTTGATTCACTCTCTTTGGTTGACATCTGTTATGTATACGTATACGTGTTTGTGTGCTCATACAATTGTCGGTCATTCGACACAACAGCAGGACTGGTCATGGCCGTTCAAATGAAAAGGTGTCTGTCACTGAACACATGAGTGTGAAGGAGGAGGCCCGTCCCATGGATGCGTGAATCGATGATGGAAGGAAAGGAACAAACGGAACAACAGTCTCCCATCGTCACTATCGGTGGGAGACTCACATGTACACAGCCGAGGGCAAGTGCCGCAGACACGTGCCTTGTGCCTCATTCGATGACATACGGGCTGAATGAGTCTGCCGATCGGTCGAGGATCTTGAGCTGCTCCTTCAGGATGTTGGTCAGCTGCACTGTCGTCAGCAAAGCACTCTGGAGCTCCTCCTACAACCAACAAGACAGGTGTGTCAGACGGCAGCCAACTGCCTGTCTGAGTCATACCTGTCTCTTTTTCTTGAAGTCCGGTGTCTGCAAGTCGGCCGTCGAGGCCGTCTGGACGGCAGACAGAGAGAGGCAGACACATGCACTCATCGATCCACTCATTCATTGACTCATTCTCACGTGTCTCTGTCTTGTCCCTTTCCTGCCCCTGAACGTGAAGTAGCGACTGCGAAGCCGCGGGTACTCATGTGTGACGAATATCTGCAGCGAGACCTCCCTCTTGAACCCGTTGCCCTCGTATATGTGGCAGGTGAGGGCACCTAGCTCATCCTTGTAAGCGCGGTACGATTCCTTCATCCCTGATGGAAGGCGACACATGAGTTGAGGCGCCGCTCTCTCATCGTCTCTCCTCCCCTCACCCAGTGCGTTTGCCCACTCATTGGCCTCCCCCATCTTGTGCAACGCGTCATAGATCACCTCCAGTCGACCCTGATGAACAGAGAGGGAACACAGTGTGTGTGAAAGGACGGTTGCAAGCAGCAGGCTCACCCTTTCGACGAGTGCGTCCATCTCTTTGTCCACCTCCCTCTGCCTCGCCTTCCTCTCGCGTATGTACTTTTTCGATATCCTCGGCCCATGACCCTCACCCTCCGACCGCCCCATCGCCGTGTGAGGCCGCAGCCCCAAGCCAACACGACCACCGCCACTGGAGAAGGAGTCTGACTGACCAAAAGCCTGAGAGCCCATGCTCGAGAAGAAGGCGGAATGGCCGGCCCCCCACTGTGCGGAGTGAGCATCGTCAATCCTGGTCGGTGAGGCAGCCGAGGTGGGGGACTCCTCCTGGATGCGCACGCTGCTGTGGCTCTTGCGCAGATGCTCATCTGGCCACTCCGATGCCTTCGCCCCACCAGCAGGACTCAGGATGCTTCGAGGTTTCTTTGACGGGTCGAAGGTGGGCGAGTGAGATGGGGGTAAGGGTATTGTGCCGGGGCTTTCTGGCTGTGACGTCGAATGGCCAGGGGAGCTGGGCAAAGCCAGCCCCATCCCGGATGTGGGGGTGAAGGCGAACGCCTCTTCCTGACCGGTGGTCGCCTTCAAGACGGTGTCCTCTGTCAGGGACGGCGGTCTTCGCCAGCTGGCGTCGGTCTGGCTTCTGATGGCAGCAGCAGCGGCATCTTGGTCGCCTCCGTCGTGGCTGCTGGACGTTGTCCCGGGGCGAGAACGATTGCGTGAAGCCGTCTGCAGCCAAGGAGACGGATCTATCCCGTGAGATGCATCCCGTGAGCCATCCGCCCGCCCCACCTGTGGTCTTGATGCCTGCTCTCTTTGGTTGCCCTGTTGGTGTTTGGCGATGGCCTCCTCCCACTTCTCGTCGAACTCGTTCTCCTCTCCGGCATCAACATGGTCGTCCTGGATCAGATCATCAACAGTGACCTCTTCCTCCTGCCGAAGCATCGTGAAAGAAGCTTGGGCGTGCGAGACGCTGGAGAGCGATCCGAATACTGGCGTGCGAGACGCCCAAACTAAGCCCCCATGCGGATCGAGTGCAGTTCGGCCAGGACAAAGAGGCGGACGGGGATGGATTCAAAGAGACAGTAACAGATACCTATAGGTTCTTGGCTGCCAGCACGAGCATCTACACATGCATTCACGCAATATCCATGTACACGCCAATCGACGGCCACCATTTGCCAACAGGGTGGCTGATGACAGGCCCTGACCGTTTCCCCTCCCTCTTTGCGAAGACATGACACCTGCTGCTGACTCAGCAAGTATCACAGCCTGCTGCTGACTCAGCAAGTATCACAGCCTCGCATGCAGGAGTTGGAAATCAGAGACCCAGGCTCCGTCAACAGCCACCCGCGCACACAACTCATTGCTTATTCCTATACGATAGATCCATCCATCCATCCCCTTCCTTGACACAAGACAAGCCAACAGAGGGGAGGCCCGACAGGCAGCACGACAACAAAAGTGAGGCAGTGATCGATCACTTCGAGCAGCATAGGTATTGACATTAGCAGCAGAGAAAGAAGGCGAGTGAGGCGAGAACGAGACTGCCGTGATGAGCGAGTCAGAGAGGCAGCCGTCAGTTGCAAAAAGGAACGAACACGAGGAGGCAGACACAAAGGTGCAATACATAGAAGATAGAAACGGTCTGTCGCTCGTCAGTCAGTCAGTCAGTCACTAAGCACGACCGGGTCTTTGCCTTTCCTGCCGCCCGCTCCCGAGGCTCCCTGATTGAACTGTAATGAAACAGGCGGGCCAAACAACTCGCCACCCATGTCCTCCTCCATCTGCTCGTTCCTCCTCGGCTTGCCGCCCCGCCTGCCGCCGCCGTCCTGCCCCTCCTCGCTGTTGTTGGAGCTCATCCCGCCCCTCCCTCGCCTCGGCCGACCGTTGGACCGCCCCCGCCGCTCCAGATCTTCCCCTCGTTGCCTGGCGCCGGCCGCCTCATCGTCTCGTGGTGCGGCCGACGGCTGGGGTCTCTGGGCGGAGGAGGAGGGCTGGTCCGTCTGGTGGGGTGGGGGGGCGGCGCTCGATGACGACGTGGCCTCTGGGGTGCCGTACTCGCCGTGCTCGAGCTTCTCCTGGACGAGTGACTTCTTGCCGTGTACTCTGAATCCGAAGATCTTGGGTACGAATGGCGTGGGGAAGTCGAGCGGGACTAGGTTGGCGTATGTCTGGAGGAAGATGTGGGGGAAGGATGTGCCGAAGTAGGCCCCGTCCATGTCCTCGCCAACCTTGCTGGCCTTGGGCGTGTAGACCTCCTGGCACTTGGGGCAGTAGGTCTTGACCCGGCTGCTCCGCAGCTCCTCAGACAGCCCAATCGGCAGCGCATTCTGCCGCTCACAGAGCACTCGGGGGCAGTAGCCGAAGCCGCCCTTGAGGAACTTCTCCTTCATCAGAGTCAGGCCGCGGGGCGACGTGATGAACCGCTGGTGGATCAAACCATACAGGTCCGTCGCACAACGATACACCTCCTGCAGTAAGGGAGGGAGGGAGGGAGGGAGCCAACACAACACACCCCACAGACAGACACAGACAACAACGAGAGAGAGATGCGACGTACGTGAGTGGCGTGCATGTATGCGTGTATGCATACGGCGTCCTGTCAGCCGCCACTCTCTCCAGTGCATGCCTCTTCCCTCCCTCCCTGTCTGCCTGTCTGTCTGCCTCTGTGTTGCCACCCGCTCAGCTGACCACGAAGTCAGGGTCGACGAGGTCGTCATCATCTGGCGCCTCCGGTGCGAGTATCATGTCGAGTGCCTTGTCATAGTTGTTTACCCGCGGCCTGAGCCCGTAAAGGTTGAAGTTGTCCTTGATGTAGTCCTCATCGACCTCCACGAAGAAGTCGTGTCCCTCGAGGCTGCAGAACCACTGAATCCATCCCGCCTCGCTGCACTCGTCGTCGTCATCCTCCTCATCGATGCCGTGGCGGTCATACGTGTACAGGGACATCCCTCACCGCCGGAATCACTCACAACCACAGAGCAAGCCAAGTCGGGCAGAGAGGCGATTGATGGGCAACACAGGACAGAAACTGCCAGAGAGGCGTTCCGATGAAGAGATCTCTTTCTTCCTTCCCCCGCGAACAGTGCGAGCTTAGAATCGCAAAGCGAATAATCGCGAAAGGGCTGGGAGGCGTGCTGCATCTACGTGTCATCTGTTATTCTGCTCAATGAAGGAACCATTGCTGCTGCCGCTGAGCCTTACATTCTTGCTCGCCCTTCTGCACTCCATCAGCGCTTTCCACCTCAGCAGCCCTCTTCTCTCCTCCGCACGTCGAGCAAGATCACAGCCGCCGCCATCAGTCCTCTCCTCAGCTGCACATCAAGCAGCACCCGTGGCCACAACACCAGCATCATCAACTCAGCAGAAGCAACGGCAGGAGCTGAATGGCGATAAGAGCGTGGCTCTCCCACCATCACCACCGCCAGCAGTGGCGCACGATGACAGGCCCGAACATGAGTTGAGTGAGGCTGAGCGGCGGGATCACCGGCGGGTTGGGCGGCAGATGGATCTGTTCTTCGTGTCTGAGGACGCTGTGGGGTCGATATTTTGGCTGCCCAACGGGTGGACGCTGTACAGAACCATCAAGGACTACCTCAGTGACAAACTGCGCAGGGCAGGTACGTGGCGTGGATGGGCGCACACATAATATTATGATGCATATCATATGTACGCATATATGGTGTGGCATGCATGGCTGGGGGGGTGCAGGTTACGATGAGATCAACACGCCTCAGTTGATGAACAAGCGTCTGTGGGTGACGTCTGGTCACTGGGAGAAGTTCCGTGAGAACATGTTTGTGGTGGAGGGCGACCGGCCGCTGCCGCCCACCGACGGGTCGGGCCACGAGCCGCAGCACCATGGAGAGCCCGAGGTGCTGGCCATCAAACCCATGAACTGCCCCGCACACGTGCAGGTCTTCAAGTACGTCCGTGACGTGACTGGCCCACACACACGGCCAGACAGCTAGCCCCACAGACAGACAACTGGATGTGATGTATTGGTGTTGGTGGGTGATATATGTTTGTTCCACGTGTGTGCAGGCGTGGCAGCAAGTCCTACCGTGAGCTGCCATATCGGTTGTCTGAGTTTGGCCTGGTGCACCGCAACGAGATATCCGGCGCCCTGACGGGCCTCATGAGAGTCAGGGCCTTCACTCAGGTCGATGTGTGTGGTGGGGGAGGGGCCTGGTTCCATCCATGGTTTCTCAGCCTGCCTACAAACCTTGCTGCCTGCCTTGTTGTTTGTGTGCCTGCCTGCAGGACGACGCGCACATCTTTTGCACGGAGGATCAGGTGGTGACAGAGACGAGGAATTTCGTGGAGCTGCTGCTCAAGGTCTATCGCGACCTTGGCTTCGACGACGTCAAAATCAAATTCTCAGACAGACCCGACAAGAGGGCGGGCGATGACGTCGTCTGGGACAAAGCAGAGGTGCGCGCGGCCAGACGACAGCAGGACACTTGCACTCACCTTTCTGCTTCTGTTCGACATGTGTGTGCATGTCGGATCCATCCCTCCATGTGTCCCTCCCTTCATCAGGAGTCTCTCCGGAATGCGATCGAGGCGTTGGGTTTGGAGTACGAGTTCAACCCGGGTGAGGGCGCCTTCTACGGCCCCAAGCTGGAGTTTGTGGTGCAGGACGCACTGGGGCGGGACTGGCAGTGCGGCACCATACAGGTCGACTTCGTCATGCCTGTCAGGTCAGTCGGCCATCCGATTATCGGATCTAGCCTTACTTATCCGCCCCCTCACCGACACACGGCGTCCATGCCATGCAATATTGTGTATGTATGTGTGTTTATGTGTCTGTCAGATTTGACGCGACATATGTGGACAGCGACAAGAACAAGATGCACCCCGTGATGCTCCACCGGGCCATTTTGGGGTCATTCGAGCGGTTTCTCGGCATCATGATCGAAAACTTCGGCGGCCACTTCCCTCTCTGGCTGGCACCGGTGCAGGTGAGAAGGATGCAGACACTCGATAGATAGACAGCCACACATGGACGCATGGGATGTCATGAGACACGGCGGCCGATCAATCAATATATCGGCGATTGTGTGTGTTGTTGTGTTGTGCGGCAGGTGACAGTGTGTCCGATAACGAACGAAGTGGACGAGTATGCGCAGGAGGTGGCGGAGCGGCTGAGGGCGGCCGGCCTTAGGACCAATGTGGACCTCAGAAGCGAAAAGATCTCTTATAAAATCAGGTAGGAAGGTAGGTGCCTGGGCTGGGCCCGGCCGGGGTAGTGAGTGCATTGGATGGATGTGTGTGAGTGCAGGGACCTGAGCAAGAAGAAGGTGTCAAGGCTTGCCATTGTGGGCAAGAGAGAACGGGATAACGGCAGCATCGCACTCAGGAGGTGAGACCGACAGCAGCACCATGCACCCTTCAATCGCAGCACATCTGCATGGCCTGGTTTGTTGACTGGTTTGTCTCACTTAGGTTTGGGAGCCAGGATCAGGAGGTCATGTCACTAGATGATGCCGTCAGGCAGCTTGTTGAGGAAGCCAAGGTGCCTGAATAAATGACACAGCAAGCCTGGCCTGGCCTGCTGAGAGGGGAGGGGGGCAGAGTGCATGCCGCCCACTGTGCATCTCGAAGAGGCCGCGCAGTAGGCATGGCATGTATCCATGCATGGTGTGTGCGCGGGAGTTTTTGTCGACTGTACAGTGCTTGACTGGCAAGTGCGGGCGCATCTGCACTGATTCAAACCCCTCACCCACGCGTCAGAGGGCGTCAGTCGATTTCTGCGAGCTGTTGCGACACACGGCTTTTGTTAAAAAGTCTGCCGGTGGCGCAGCCGTCGTGTCTTTCTCTTGGTGGGGGTCAGTTCGACAAGTGGATGCGCTGGAGCCGTGCTGTCGCACAGGGAATCCTCAGACAGACAAGCGCATCTCCAACGTCAGCACCACAGTGTAAGAAAAGAACCCATGAAGCGGCACAGGCTGATGCTGGGCTGATGCAGCTTGTCGGCCTTCACGTGTGCCTAGTATCTGTCGACAGCTGTGTGTGCAGGTCGAGGACAGAGAGGGGGCGTGAGAAGGCGTTCTGATCTGATGGACGTGTGCGCCATCTGCTGCGAGGCGAGTGCACACCACCTGATGACGGACGTATCGGTGCCGCTGCGGTGGCCACCCATTGAGACCGACCCCACTATCTTCACCTCCATGGCACACGCACTCGGCCTTGACCCAGCCTACACCCTCACCGAGCTGCTGGACCTCGACGGCTCGCTGTACTCGCCCTCCGACAGCCCCTCGCCGCAGCAGAGCTGCCAGGGATTCATCGTCTGCTATGAGGACTCCTCTCTCGCCGTCAACTATGATGAGTGCGGGAGTGCGGCAGATATTGCCGACCAGCAGCAGCAGCTGACCTTCATCAAGCAGGTGGATGAGCTGGACACGGCGTGCGGCTTCATCGCCCTGCTGCACGTCATCGTCAACCTCCAGCTGGACAGCAGCTCCCCACCTGTGGTAGAGGGCTCGCCGCTGGACAAGTTCCTGGAGCGTGTCCGCCCTCTCGACCCACATGCCCGTGGACAGGCGCTCGCCCACGACGAGAGCATCCGACAGCAGTACACTCAGGCTGCCTTGCGCGGCCAGAGCCACGTGCCGGCCACAGAGAATGAGGTGCCTGCTTCCACCAAGACACTTTCCGACAGACACAACAGACAGACAGACTTCCATGGTGTCGTTTCGTTATTGTCAGGTGAAGCATCACTATGTGGGACTTGTGAGGGTAGGTGGGCGGCTGGTGGTCTTGGACGGCGTCAAGGAGCGGCCGATGTGTGTGGGGGAGGTGGGTGGAGAGGACGCGACGAGCATGCTGGCGGCCATGAAAGGCTTCGTGACGACGTGTATGAAGGGGCAAGTGGAGGCAGGGATGCTGTCCGTGCTGGCGCTATCCAAAAGTGGATAGTCAGCCAGCCGGGGCATGCAACTGACTGGATGACCGACCGCTGGCTGGCGTGGTGTGTCATTATGCACTGTCGACTGAGGCGAAACGGCGTGTGAGTTTCGCGTTCATCAATGCTCTTGATTTGGTTGCTCTTGATTTGGTTGCATTGGCTGCAGCGAGCCAGTTAGCGAGAGGCTAAAACACTTCGAGAGCTTAAAACTCCACACGCATCGCATCCAATCCACCACCCTAAAACATCCATCGGATGTCCTCATCAGTCAGTCACACCCCTCCCACACCACACACGCACATATGCAGACAGACACCAATCATACCACTAGTTGGTCCTTCAGCAGGACACGACACGACACAATCCAATGCCAGCTGGCATGGCTGGCCCACACACACACACACACCCCCCGCACCCACTCACTGCTTGTTTGGCTCGACACAATGAAGCATGGCCACATACATGCAAGTAGGTAAGTCATTCATTGACTGATCGACAGACACCACACCACACCCTGAGTGAGAAAACGAGGGAGCCAGTGAATGAACGGAGTAGCGATAGCCAGGCCCGATCCCTGCCCTTCCCTGCTCTCCCCTTGGCCTGCCCCAGCCAGTCCACAGCCTGGGGCTCATCTTGGGTTCTATCTATCTTGTATCAAGATTGTTTCTTGAGGTAATCCCGCAGCCTCTTGTCCATCTGTGCGATCTCTGGGAAGTAGGTGACGAAGCACTGCCCTGTGCACTCCTCCATCTGCTTCTCGATGGTTGCACGGTCCTTCTCGTCCTTGGCGCTGCTGTGCGGCTGAGAAAACTTATTGAAACAAGCGTCCTGACACACCTGAATGCAGCCAGTCAGTGAGGGCACCACCACACCACACCACACCACACCCCATGCACCCACCTGACAATCAGTGACTGCAGTGCCCTCACTGTTTACTGACCTGTATGGAGTTTTGCAGTGTCTGCATCTCTCTGTTGAGTGTGGCCGAGAATTCCTCTGCGGGCTGCTGGCAGTTCTTGATGCACCTGCCGACGGTCTCATAGTCGGTACCGGGTTTGTCGAAGCACGCCACGCAGCACTGGAAGGTCTTCTTCTGCATGGCCATGCTGTCCTGCGTTATGTCATGCAGCGTCTTGTCCAGCGCACTCTGGAAGGCCTTGACCTTCTCCTGAGCCGTCGGCGGTGACGACGACGCCATGGTTGAACTCTTGCGGCAGCCAATTCAAAGATACAACTCGACCTTCACCTCAGGCACACCATGCACTTCACAATCTGCGCAGATCTGAGAGGAGGAGAGATGCAATGGTTACGTTTTCAAGCTTGCATGCGATTTCCAGAGGCTTCTTCCGCTGATGTTGTTGTTGGCTGCTCTGTTGGGTGTGTTGCTGGATCTGTCGGTTGCCTTCCAATCCATTCATCCTCGCCGCACATGGCAGGCAACCTGCCGCACCTCATCCATCCCCGGCGCTGCCCACCTATCGCGAGTCAAGATGGCCACGCCCATCCGCATCTATCCGCCTCCGCCGAAGCCAACGCACCCCGACGTGAGCAAACTGAGGCGGCGCTTTGCGGATGACGGAGGCTCTGTCAGCGACGCTCTGCAGATAAGGCCGAGCGCATTCGATAATGCGGGTGCGGGGCTGTTTGTGAAGGAAGCTGTCAAGGAGGGAGAGGTGCTTGCGAGGGTGCCGGAGAGGTTCTTGATGAGGCCGATGGGCTATGGTGTTGTTGTTGATGACAGCGGCGAAGATCCGGAAGTTCCGGATGAGCTGCGGGATCTCATTGCTAAGGTTCCGTCGCAGAACTGGATGTTGCGTCTGGCGCTGCTTGTGCTGTACCACCAGATGAACCGGACGCCCCACTGGTACGATGACTACCTCATGACGCTGCCCGAGTCCTTCCCGTCCATCCCTATGTTCTTCAAGCAGGGCGACCTCAAGGCCCTCCAGCACCCCAACCCCAACGCCATCTCACACCGCCTCTGGTTCCTCCAGCAAATGCACCGACAGATCTACGGACCAATCGCAAACACGCACCAAGACCCCTTCGCTCCTCTCGCCAAAGAGAATGACTTGGCGGCCGGCCAAAAGCCCCTGACGCTGAAATCCGTCGCCTGGGCGCAGGCGGTGGTGACGTCGCGCAGCTTGCGGGGCAGTTCTGGCGGTGGGCCTGGGATGATGTGTCCGTTGCTCGACATGTGCAACCACTCATCGTGGCCGAGTGCGGCTGTGCAGCACGAGGTGGATGGGGAGGGGCGGGTGAGGGGCGTGCGGCTGGTGGCGCTCAGGGATCTGCCAGAGGGGGAGGAGCTCACCGTGTCGTACGGCAGGATGTCCAACGCCTTGCTCGTCATGGACTATGGATTTGTGGAACCAAACAACCCGTGAGCCGAGCCACCCGACCCGATAGACCACACGTCATCAAATCAACACACAAGCAGGCAGTACAGAGGGAGGGAGGGAGATGTGCGTGTCCTCTCTGCCTGCCTCAGTTATGACCGCGTGACGATCACCTTCGACCACAAGATAGCGGGTGAGGCCTTCCGGACCATCGGCCTGGACGACAGGCGGATCGTCCCTGGCCGGTTCGACTCCCTCCCCTGCCCACACCGCCGGCCGCTGCTTAAGCAGCTCTATCTCCTGCCAACCGACATCGACAAGGCCATCAAGGAGGGAGAGAGAGACAAGGAGAGGGAGGCCATGGCCATGGCGCAGCAATCTGACGCAAGCGCCACAGCCACAGCGACGTCCAGAGGCAGGGAGAAGGATGTGATACTGGTCAAGGAGGAGGGCAACACGACTATAAGGGAGACCACCTATGCCGATGCGCCCAAGGAGAGGAGGCGGGAGCCAGCCGGGGAGAGGGGGGCAGCAGCAGCAGCAGCAGGGAACGCCGCGGCAGGCAATGCGACCGAGGCGCCCCACATCTACCGTCCGCGGGTCCATCTTGGCGGCGACATCCTGGTCGACAAACGATTGCTCGCTGCCGTCAGGGTAACCAACACACACACACACACACACACAGCGATAGGACGGGAGGATTGGCTGGCGGAGGATTGGCTGGTGCATACTTTTCTCTGTGTCCCTCCCATTGCAGGTGTTGTTATCCTCTGGCGATGAGCTGGAGGGGAGGTCTTTGCGCGAGCTGGCCGAGTGGGCCACACCCCTCTCGTCCACCAACGAAGTCAGAGAGAGAGAGAGAGAGAGACGCTCCACCACCAACGAACGACATCAACCAATGAATCCTCTCTGCCTCCTTTCTCCGTCAGATGGTGACCCTGAAGGCGCTGGTGGCCCTGATCGGTTTGGTCGAGTACGCCGACTTCGACACGTCTCTGGAGGACGACCTGAGGTCACTGGCGAGCGGGCGCATCCCCACGGGCCACACCGACTGGGGCACGGAGGACTACGTGTCCGTCACACCCGCCCTTGACGTCACCCTGCGGTATCGCGTGGAGAGGAAGCGGCTGCTGCAGCGAGTCAGGGAGGGGCTGCAGCGGCGGCTGGCAGATGTCAAACACAGATATGTCACGGGGCAACGGGCTCTCAGGTCGGCCGGCTGAGTGCCGGGGGGGAGGGAGGGAGGCTTCTGACGTGGGGGGGTGGATGGATGGATGTGTGACGAACGAAGAGGGAGGGAGAGAGATGTGTCCGTCCATGGAGCTTCCTTCCTTGATGGCGTTTTGTTCGTATATCTGTGGGGCGTGTCGTGTCAGGGAATGATTATGGCGGTGAGACAGACAGACCAACCGGATCAATAAAGATCGCCTGGCTACACTGCATACAACACAACACCCACACGCACACACACAAGGTAGATACTGGATGGAATGTGTCGCTCGCACAGACAGAAAACATGTGAATGGACCGACCGACAGACCGATAGACACGCCCTGCCCTACCATCTACCTAGCTGCCCTGCCCGCCCTATACAAACACACACACATAGACCAACACACACACACACTAGATCGACATATACCGGTAGGTATACCACCACCACCACCCCACCCTCCCGTCCGTGCCTTCAGTGAGTCAGCCATCGCCCATGGCAGCCCCCGTGACACTGAACCTCTCCCTCTCGTCCTCGCCGCCACCGGACCCCTCGGCCTGGGGCGACATGCCGGCTTGGGCCCCGGTATTGGCGCCACCACCACCGCTATGGAGAGGTGGGTAGAAGGAGAGTGCGGGGACGGATGTGAGAGGGAGGGGGTTGGGTGAGGGGCTCAGCCGCACCGCATCACCACAGATGTTCAGCACGGCGTACGCCTGGTGCTTCTCCTCCTGAATCAATGGATGGATGGAAGCAGACAGACAGGCAGGCAGAATGAGTCGAACAGATCCATCACGGTGTCTGTGTGTGCGAGTGTGTTCGGTCTTATTGGACGAGTGTGAGTGTGATAGGCCTACCGTGAGGAAGAGGTTGTTGATGCGGTAGCCCAGGAGGGCATTGCCGCCAATTGCCAGCACGTGACTCTGACACACACCCCACACCACCAGGTACTTACGCATTCGGTGCAACGAAGAACGAGTGTGCCTGGTCGGTCGGTCGGTTGGCTGGCTCGCTGACCCGCGCCATGCAGAGGGCGTCTGTGACGAATTCGTGGTAGAAGACCTCAAAGTGCTTCAGGGCCGTGGTCTCCTTTATCACGTGCAGAGCTACCAAACCAATGTACCTGCACACATGCACATGCACACGTGTATTTCCGGGTGTGTGTCTGTGTGTGTGTGTGTGTTACTTTTCCACTTGGCAGCCGGGGAGTGAACTCAATGGCGATACCTGCAGGACATGCCATGCCATGCGCACACAGATGCACATCCATTCGTCCATCCATCCATCCACCATCCCATGGACACACCCACTGCACTGCTCTCCTTCCCTTCCCGGACTCACTCACCAGGACGATTTGTTCCAGCGGGTCCCCGATGCCCTCCCCCTTGTCCACATACCCATACACCTCCCTCTCCTTACCGCCTACACCAACACCAACACCAGCCGGGGTGGTCTCCACACCAGGAGCACCAGGCTTTTTCCCCACAGGCACCCGTCTATCGCCGTCGTCACGCTGCTGCTGTGTCCATGGCACATCGACGGTTGGCGGGTGGCAGGGCGATGCCGGCTCAGAGTGGAAGGTGAAGAGTCCCTCCTGCAGCTGGGGCGCGGCCAGAGATGCCCCCCTGCCGGCTGCGGCCCCTTTCTTGTCACCCTGCATCTTCCTGCTCGCCACAAGGGGTGGGGGCGGCTGCCTCCGACCGTCCAGCATAGGCGAGCCCTTTGGGTGGCCCTTCATCGGACTCCCTCTCTCCCTCTCCCTCTCCCTGTCTCGGTCTCTGTTGACAGCTCTCGCGCGATCCACAAGTGTCGCCGGCGATGCGGCAGTGGTTTTGCCACCACTCCAGGACAGATTCAGCCCCAGTTTGCTGAGGGCGAAGGCGCGTAAGTGCCTGTCCGTCTGCTTGGATGGAGGAGGGGGTGAGGGGAATGGGGAGGGGGAGGGGTGCAGGTCGGTTGCCGATGGCTTGCTGGGCCGGCCTGGTGTGGATCTGATGACGAGCGAGCCTCCCTCTGGCTGAGATGAGGTGGTGCGTGAGGGGGAGGGGAGTAGGAGGGAGATGGATGGGGGCAGGAGGTAGTGCTCGTCCTCGATAAAGCCGTGGTGGGCGAGGGCCGCCTCACCGCCAGCAGGGCTGCTGTCTTCAGGACTGCTCTCACCTGCCGACCACACACACACACACACACACACAGACAGACTCTGCTCTCTCTGCTGTGCGACATTGGCTGTGGGTGCGTCCGTCCGTGGTTTGTGGCTGCACTGCACTGCATACCTACCTCCCGAGTAGGCGGCTGACATGTAGCCATAGACGAGTCCCTCATTGACGGGGTCCAGCCCACGAGAGAAGACAGGCGGGCCGGGGGGGCCGTTGGTCTGGTCTGCATGGTTGTTGTGCTGGTGGTGGCCGACGTCCACCGACCACCCAGACTCGATGCTGTTGTCACGACGGCCGGGGGCGGTGATGGGAGCCAGGTCACCCGCCCAGCTGCTGTGGGGGAAACTGGGGCCCTCCTGACACACAGGGGAGAGAGGGGTGTGTGGGATGTGTGTCGTTGTGTCTTTGTGTTGCGTCGCTTCTGCTGACTCTCGGTCCCATCTGAAGGGCGTGCCCGGTGAGGACCAGCTCGAGTGTGTCTTCCTTCAACACAGAGATGCGCCACTGACATACAGACAGACACGAAACGACAAAATGAACATACGGCAAATGGATGGGTGGATGGATGGATAGACATCCATACCTGCAGGGCGGCGATGCAGCAGGGGAAGACGCCCCTGAGGAACTGCCGGAAGAGCAGCCCCGCGAACATCTCGTTGCACACCTCACCCAGCCGTTTGGTGATCTTGGACGACGACGCTCGGACGTCCTCCAACAAATCGATACGCCTGACAGCACAACACACACACCACACCCACCCTCCATCCGTGGCACGGCACCGACCACCAAAAGCCCCATTGAATGACTGACAGACTGACTGACCCACCGAATGGCAAACACGAAAGGCGCCGGGAGCATGACGGGCGCATCGGCTGTCGCTGCCACCCCCATGTTGTTGCTGTTGGTGTTGCTGTTGTCATTTGGCTGGATTCCTTCCCTCTGCTGCTGCTGCTGTTGTTGCTGCTGCTGTTGTGTGCGTCCGATGGCTGCCAGCCATGGGTCCGGGGGAAATGCGCCGCCGGGGAGACAGTCGACGGTGCAGAGAGCTGAGTCGGAGGGCACCACGGGGTCATCAAGGGCTGCCACCAAATCCTGACAAACCAGAGGACAGACAGACAGACAGACAGACAGACAAACATGCGTTCGTTCATTAGGCGTGTGGTGGGTTGGGTAAGATCTGCAGTCACGTCACGTACCTCATCGGTCTCATCGTCGACCTCAAACACAAAGGCGTGTTTACCATCGCCCTCATCGCGCCTCACACCCACCCCACCGCCGCCAGCAGCCCCCCCACCGCCCACCCGGGCGTACACATAGCTGTTGGGCGGCCGCGCACTCACAGTCTGCTCGCACTCCCCCACATTGCCGTCAAACGACATGGTCGACACCAACGGGTCACCGGCAGCAACAGCAGCAGCTTGCTGTTGCTGCTGCTGCTGCTGGTCGAGGGATGCGAGTACCTTGGCCATCAGACCGCCCTCCATGCCGGGAGACGGGATGGGAGAGGCTCGTGCGGGCAGGAGGGGGTCGCCGGGAGACGGTAGCACGGCCGCGGGCAATGGCTCGCCGGGAAGGGCCGCCTGACATTGATTTGATTGATGCAGACAGACAGACAGACAGACAGACAGGGATGGTGAATGGTGAATGGTGTAGTATGGCGCGGCAAGGAGGGGGGAAGGGGTTTGTTTACCTGTGGTGTGCCAAGTTGCAGCAGCGGTGCGTAAGGTGAGGTCATGGCGGCTGATGGGTTGGCCGTCGCCAGGTTGGGCGAGAAGAACCGACTCAACGCCAGAAGCATCTCGGCAGAGCTGACACACAGACAGACACCGCACATACGCCGTATGTGCAACCATACATCCATCCTTCCCTTTGCACATAACATACGCCACGCACCGGCTCGGCTCACCCACCAGTCGAAAGATGAGGCCAGCATCGGTACCCCCCCCTTGTGGTGCGCGATGCCGCGGAGACTCCGCTGGTGCAGCCGATCGTACACTGTCTTGCGCAACAAGTCATCCTGACACACACACACACACAGACAAACACGTGTGACACACATGCTTGCCAAACATTGCCTTCACTACCACACGGCCATTGATGTTGATGGGATGGGTGGGTCGTACCTACCTCAGCTTGTGCGGCTCCGCCTCTGATGATACGTGACACCCGTGGCGGCGCCTTGATGACGAGAGCCGACGGGGGCGGCAGCGGCTTGGCGTACACACCCGTGGCTGACGCAACCCCTGAATCGATCGGATCAATCAATGGGATAAGGAGGGAGGGAGAAAGGGAGGGAGGGAATGACGTCTGTCTGTGTGGGTCGTCGGGTCGGGTGGCTGTGGTGGCCGTGTGCATGTGTTGTGTGGACCTACCGGCGATTGCACAGGGTCCGACGGACAGCTCCACTGTGAGGCCGAATGCACAGTTGACGCCCAGGATCTGCAGGCAGGCAGGCAGACACATTCTTGTAAACACATTACATTGAGAGAGGCATGTTGTATTGTGCAGCGCAGCTGCATAGCTACCCACGGCCCATGGAGGCAGGCAGCCATGTACCGACCTTCATCTTGTACATGAGTTGTCTGTGTAGGTCCAGCTCCAGGAAGGGCAGCGCCTGTGAGACCTCCATGGCGTGCGCCTCTCCTGACAGCTCACGCTTCATCCGACACACACGCGCCTCAACCAGCTGACCCCTACACACACACACACACACACACACATATACAGAGAGAGAGAGAGGCGCATGTGTTGACGTAGTCGGTGTGTACCTACCTGCCGGCGATGGGCAGCCCTTCTGGGCACTCTGTCGTGGCCAGCAGCATCGAAGGCACAGTGCCCTCCTCACACATCCTACACACACACCACACCACACCACATACAAATCATGTTTGTGGAGCACCCGGCCAGCCGGCCAGCCGGCCAGCGTGCCTACCTGCAGTTGGCCCGTTCGAAGGGGAAGCCCGCCCCCGACGCGCCGACGATGGCGCCCAGCGTCTCCTCAGGCAGATGCAGCAATGCACACGTACGCCCACGGCCTGCACACACATACACACGATTGTGACCACCATGTCTGTGGCCACCCACCACACACCACCCACACCTATTTACCTGACGACACCCATCTGTTTGCGAAGGGGGGTGGTGCCGGGGGCGGCAGCGGCATCGCCCCATTCGCAGCATTGGAGACGGCGCCAGTCGTGGCATTCATCCCACCGCCACCACTGACGCCACCACCAGCAACAGCAACCTCCTTGCCCACCGTCACCGTCCCCTCGAGTGTGCGCGACTCTTTCCTGTCGATGATAACCGACTGACGGGAGGTGGCTGCGGCGGTGACGTTGGGCTGGCTAGTGATGGCGGCTGGTGGATGGTGTGTGAGTAGGGTGGCGCGGTGTCTGGGCGTGAGGACGGCAGCGGTGCCCATGGCTGAGAGTACGATGACGTCCTCGTGGATGGACACTCGCTCGGTGTAGCCGATGATGGAGTCGCACTTGAGGGCGGCAGCGTGGGCCCGCATCTGCATGCGATGCCATGCCATGCCCCGTCGCATATATGGGATGCATGGGGTGGGGGCAGGAGAGAGCAGAGGAGAGAGGAAAGGAAGGCGATTGCTGTGGGTCAGTCAGTCAGTGTGTGTGTGGCTGGGCTGGTGAGAGCTCACCTCGTCTCTCAGCTCCTGCCACCAGTAGTTCCGCTGATCCTGACCGACACACACACACACACACACACAAGTATCCTGGCAAATCGACACGCACATCCATCCACCCCATAGATACGCACCAACCTGTGTGAGTTTGTTCTGCAGGAGTTTGACGCTCCTGGCAGCGACGATGCCGGCGAAGTGCATTGACAGCTCAGTGGGCAGCCGGTGCAGCGTGATGAGCTCAATGGTCTTGGGCGTGTAGACCGATCGGCCGATCAACGGCGGCAGAGACGTCGACCTCAGAGGCAGATCTGGCACGTAGAATGACGGGGCCTGGTGACCGTACGGACCTAGTGAAGTGAGGGAAATAAAAGGGGGAAAGATGATGACATGACCAGAGACAGAGGTGTTTGTTTGGATGGATGGTGGGCAGGGCACACCTGACTGACCTGCAGCGACGGGTGAGGCTGGGTAGAATGACGGTGTGTTGTATCCTCCAGGGACGGCCGGCAGCCCTGTGGTGGCCACAGACGGACGAGACGCACCACCTGTTCACACGCAGACATAGACACACAACACATGACAGACAGACGCATAGCATCCATGCGATGTGATGCGATGCGAGTGTGTGCATGTGAATTGCAATGCACCCACCTTACCTACCTTGCTGTTTTGGCGATGGTGTGGCGACGGCAGGCTTCTTCTCGCCCCCTACGGCTGGCACAGGTGCCTCAAGTGTCTGTGCCGGCTCGGCCTCCCTCTCCCTCTGGACAACCCGCCCGCCGCCCTCCTCAACCATCTCCATCGTCAGCGACGGACCTACACACAACACAACACAACACAGTCCATGCCGTGTAGATGTGTGTCCGGCCTGGCTTGGTGCTGTCTGTCGCCTCCCTGCCACCCTGCCACCCTGCCACCCTAGCTAGCTACCTACCATTCAGCTGCACCCCCTGTTTGTCGCTTTTGTTGTCTCTGTCTTCCTCGTTGATATCGGTGTCGGTTTCCTCCTCTGTCAGATTGATGGTGTCGGCCTCCTGCAGTGGCCGGCCAGCGCCGGGGTGGTCGCCCTCATCCGATGCCGACGACTGCCCGGCCGCTCGCCGCACCGGGGGAACGGGCATCGCCTGCCGGGGGTCCTCGTCGAGATTGCCGCTGCCCGTCGAATCTGATGGATGGATGGATGGATGACGTCACACACATCACATCACTGCGTGCATTGCTGTGTGTGTGCGTGCCGTGGCGTACCAGCGCTGAGTTTCCGTCTTGGTAGAAGGAATGCCTGCAGGTTGCCGCTGGTCAGGTGGCTGGCAGGGGGGCCTAGCCGCACGGCCGTTCCGAAGTTGCGGATGCATATCCTGCACACAACACATGACATCACATGCCCCGCCCCCAACCACACACACACACACACACAAACAAACCGGCAAATCCAACGAACACACACGACGTGACAGGAGATGAGGTGTGTCGAGTGCACTGCACATACATACCTGTCAGTGACATCGCCCTCAAGGTCGACGCATTCGGTGTAGCCCAGGACGGCGTTGGCTCCCATTTGCTGGGCCTTCTTGCCCAACTGACGCCGTGTCTGCATCGCCGACGTCTGCAGCACACTCCGACGGGCCTCGTTGGAAAACCTGACACCACACGACACAGACAGACATCGACACAGTATATACGTATCGTATCCTCGACGTGTGTGTATCTATACCTGCTGGATCTGATGAGGTCCTTCCAGTCATATTCGGGGTCAGCCACCACACTCAGCTCATCCTACACACACATAACAAACATCCACACATATGCACACGTGTTCACACACAGGCTTTGCCCTGCACATGGCCTGCCTGTCTGGATGCCTGTCTGTCTGTCTGTCTGTCTGTCAATGAATGACTCGGACTGACCACGAATCCGAGAATCTGTTCGACTCTGTGGATGTGCTGCTGCGGTGGTGCGGATATGGAGAAGAACTGCACACCCACCGACGACTCGCGGAAGGGATTCAACTCCTCTACAAACTCCAACTTGACCACCAAAAATATCTGACCTGGTGGAGTGCATTGCAACCACAGAGGAACCAACAAACCATATCGACTCCACAGAGATGCGATCACATAGAGTGTGGCCGGGCCGGGCCGCCTGCCCTGCCTGCCTGATCTATTCATTGGCTGACCCTGCATGCCCCTGAGGGTGTCGTAAATCGGAAGCCACCCCTCGTATCGGTTCTCGTTGTGGATCAGCAGGGGGGTGAGGTCGACGTCCAAGTCGCCTATCACCTGACCCTCAGCCTCGCTCACCTAAGCACACACACACACACGGACCCAAGTGGGTGCATTTGCAGGTGTGCCTGCCTGGCGGCCTGTACAGTACTGACCTCGAGTTTAAGAGGCGAGTCCTGTAGCTCAGAGTCGTCTGCCACCTCGATGCGGAAGGGCTGATCCCACACAGGGTCAGTGCGACGACGAACTGACCGATGAATGAACACACGGGTAGACGAATGGTGCATGGTGGGACGTGGGTGAGCCTGTCCATCTGCCAATCCCACTTACCTGTCGTGGTGCGCTGACGGAAGAACTCTCCAAAGGAGACCTGTCCCCCCAGACCAGATGGACACGCAATCAGCACACACACACACTAGTGAATGCATTGATTTCGTGGGCACGCACCGTGTGACACTGTCCTTCCTTGACCGATTGTCTGTCTGTCATGGTTGTGTGGCGTGTGTCCTTACATCTACATAGCTATCGACGGAGGTGTCGGTCTTGTCCCGGACAGGCAGGCCGCGGGCGGCTACCACACGCACCTTGATGGTGCACGGCATCCCATCCACTCACTCAGCACAGCCAATCACTCAGTGGACAAAGTTCCTCACACCTGGACAGACAGATCTCACGCGTACATTACATGACCGGATGCATCAACTCATCAAAAGAGAGATGCATTCCATGCCCTAGCTAGGAGTCCGCTGCTGTTGGTTCCTGTGCTTGAAGGGTCTTTCCTTCTGACGTCTGCGAGCTTAGATAGCATTCAGTTCATAGATCGAATCCATCCCAGAAATCCCGCCAGTCTGTGCACACCGAGTCCGCATGCACCACCCAGAAAAGGCGAAAACGGTCGCGCATGCTCATTGTATCAGCTATGGCTTCACGTCACACAAACGTGCAGTGCACGGCACAGCAAGACAGACAGACAGACAGACACAAATAAACAGCACAGCCACCCCGGGTGCTCATCTCATCTCATCTCACATCACATCACACGTCACGTCACGTCATCTTCTTTCGGGTCGGGTGGCTTGGCTCGCCCACTCATATTCACTCACTCAGCACAAGACACACAGCCTGACTCGACCAAAGCCAAAGCAGTCCGTCCATCTCGTCAGTCCCATCTCGTGAATCACATGTTTGCACAGCCAGCTAGCTACTGTCCTGTCCGTGGTGTTATCCGAACCATTCCTGCGAGTGTCTGTACCACTCAGTCCACCTGCCTAGCAAGGTCTCCCACCGCCTCCGCCTCCGCGACACCTTGGCCTCCTCGCTCTCGGCCTCCTCCTCCTCACGACGCGCCTCCCACTCCTCCTTCTCCTAAACCATACATACAAGACAAGACGACACATCATTGATTGATCCACATCTGCCTATGCCTGCCTGCCTGCCTGGTGCGTGTGACGTGAGCAGTTGCTTAAGGCTGTGTTTGTTGTGTAGGTACCTTGATGATGAGGAGTGCCGCCTGCATGGTGACCCACATGTTGAGTGGGATGAGGAAGGGCAGGAAGACCTTCCACAAGATGAAGGTCTCCATCAGGCCAAACACAAAGTGCCGCGACTCCATCTGCAGGAACCGCGGGATGGGCTGCATCACCCGCCACTTGGCCGCCTTCATGGCCTTCTGGTAGATCCAGTCCTCTATTCTCGCGTAGTACGGCAGGCAACGCACATTGGCACGGAACGATGGGATCCGGTAGTAGAGCTGAGCTAGGGGGCGATTCCTGGCGCACAGGAGCAGCAAGGTGCCCCATTCCAACCAGAAGACAGAGTTGAACCCCACAAAGGCACTGATCTGGTGGACACGCCAGACAGACCAGACACACCACACAACCACACAGCAAGTAGATGAATGACATAAACACATCGACAGTCAGGCGGGCGCCATTGCAATCAGTGCGGCGGGTGCCCGCATGCCATCTATGCATACCATGGCTGTGCCATCGAGGTCGTTGTGCTGACAGAAGTCCACCAGCCCCTCCCCGTCAGCCAACCCAACGCTCTCCCGTATCCGCCGCATGCATGACGACCACCAGCTGCGCCTGCCTCCTCCCTCCTTCTCACTCAGTCCATCGTTGCTGTCGTCAGACGGCTGACATGCTGCCACGTTTGTTGCCGATAAGCGGCGCCGCAAGCGGGATGAGATGCGCCATCGGGCAGCCCTTGCTGCAAGAAACGCAGTGACGTCACTTTGTGACGGGCTCGCGGACGGCTGATCCGCATCTGCAGGTGGGCATGTTGGGCTGTCTGTGCGGCGGCTCACGAGGTACCCATGGGCTTGCCTCAGGCTGCCGACGAGCTGACTCGTCATGCCTTCATTCGGGCACCGATAGTTGACGCGGAAGGCGCTTCATCGTCTTGATCTACAGCAAAGCCGCATCATCACCACACTGCGCTCGCAGATCTACGCGCACGGCGTTGCGGACTTGCGAGCTCATCTGCGAGCTCAATCAAAGGAGAGATCAAAAAGCGAACGTCAAACCAACAAGGAACGTGACGGGGGCGAAGAAGTTGTGGCGAAAAGCTGCCGGCAATTCTTCGTTGTCTTTGGTCTTCGCAAGTCTTTGCTCCACAGCCTGTGTGGCCATATCCAGTGGTGTGTGGCCTGCCGCTGATGTGCGAGGCGCCGTCACCGGCCAGAACGCCGCCACAGGCACGCTTGTGTGAGAGTGAAACGCCTGTGGACCCCTCCCCCCTTATCTCCGGCTCTCGGAAGCAGTCAAGACGCCTCAGGCTGTCAGCTATGACGTGGCTTCCGTCCACCTTTGCCGCAGCCCTCCTGGTGCTGCTGTTGAGCGGCTCCCCTTTGTCGGTGTGTGGTGGTAAGGCGAAGGGTTCGATGGCGATGGAGGTGTCCCAGGCGGATTTTGACAAGCACATCAAGGAGAGTCCCTATGTGATGGTGATGTTTTACGCGCCCTGGTGCTACTGGTCCCGCATGCTGCTCCCCGACTACGACAAGGCGGCGGAGAAGCTGGCCATGCACGACCCGCCCGTCAAGCTGATCAAGGTCGACTGCACCAGGAACTTCGTGGTGGCTGAGAAGTATGGTGTGCACGAGTACCCCACTCTCAAGTTCTTCACGGACGGCAGCATCCACGAGTACCACGGCGGGCGGGGCGTCAACGAGATCGTCAACTGGGTCAATCGTCAATTGGAGAAGGAGCACTACATATCGACTCAGAGCGAGATGGACAGCCTGGTCAGCCACAGCGACCTCTCGGTCGTCCTCATCTATCCTGCGGGATACGACAAGACCGACTTCACTAGGATCGCCCGCCACTACGACGACGTGCTCTTTCTGGACACCAACAACACCGACCTCGCCGACCCGCTCCAGTCGCGATACGACCTGCCTAGGCGCAACCCGCCGTTCGTCTTCATGATAACGCCCCATGACAAGGTGGGTGAGAAGAAGGTCGTCATGTACGACGGGGACCTCACCGACCACCACCAGCTGGATATCTTCGTCACGTCGATGCGCTTCCCCGCCCTGGTGCCCTTCACCAGCGACAACGCCCAGCGGCTGTTCAAGGACGGCAGGCCCATATTCGTGTATCTGAGGGAGGGGGGCGATGACAAGAAGGACGAGCCAGTGCCCGAGATGGTCAGGAGGGTCGCCACCGACTTCAGGGGGGCGCTGCTGTTCACCGTCTCGGGGACCACGGAGCCGCACGAGAAGAGGCTGCTCGGTGAGCCACCTCACCTGAGGGGCGACAGGGACATGTATGTGTGCAGGGGCTGGGTTGGATGGATGTGTCCATATGTGTGGTGTGTATGTCAGAGCTGATTGGTGCCGATGAGGAGGTGTATCCTGCCGTGCGCATCATCACTCTCAATCCATCGGGACACGGACACTACCACCCGGCGGTATATATGCACACGCACACACGAAACCCTCCAGCGCTCAGACACATGCCGTGTGTGAATCTCTGTGTGCGCGTGCAGCTCAAGTACCGTTACGGCGGGACCATGACTGAGCCTTTGCTGCGGCAGTTCGTCTTTGACTTCCAGGCAGGCTCCCTCACGCCATTCATGAAGTCCGAGCCAGTGCCAGACGACGACGGACTGAGTAAGACACGGAGGGAGGGAGGGAGGGAGGGAGGGAGGCATGGATGGATGTGCGACAGGTCCCGTGACAACGATAGTGGGCAGCACGTTCGAGCGGATCGTCAAGAACCCCAACAAAGACGTACTCGTCGAATTCTATGCGCCATGGTGAGACAGACAGAGAGCGAGGCAGCAAGCAGGGAGGGAGAAGTGCATCGGTCAACAGCAGTGTTGTATGGATGTGTATGTATGTGTGTGTATGTGTGTGCAGGTGCGGTCACTGTCGTAAGCTGGAGCCAATCTACAAGCAGTTCGCCAAGAAGGTCGCCCGTGTGCCCACCGTCACCGTCGCCAAGATCGATGCCACGAGAAACGAAGTCCCCAAAATGCAAATCCGTAAGACCACACACCGCACAGCACAGCATGGATCCCCCCCACTTATATCTGCCTTGTACGGATGTGTGTTTCAGGTGCGTATCCGACCCTGTTGCTGTTCCCTGCCAAGAACAAGGATCACCCGATTGAGCACAGAGGCGAGCGGACAGAGGACGGACTCGTCAACTTCCTCCTGCAACACGTGAGGACGAACACCACACCACACAGCAACACCACGTCGATAACTTCTAATGTGTGTTCGTGGTGTCGCTGGCTGCATCTATGTCAATGACCTCAGGCGTCGTTCAAGTTCGACAAATCGTTGCTGGATAAGGTCGAGGAGGACGACGATGATTTCTACTTCGAGCAAGACCTGTAGCCTGCCTGTAGCTCGACATATTGGTCTCTCTTGCGCGTGTATGGATGGACCGACCGACATGGCCTCTGCCGGACATGTGGGCGGCGGTGCTCTCCTTTTTTCTTGTCTCTTTTCTTCTCGTCTCATCTCATCTCATCTCAGTCTTGTTTGCTTAAGGTGTACATTCGTAGCGTTTTTGACGCTGTGGGCGTCAAGCAGACCTCCAGACGGCAAGTGAATGAGTGTGTCGGTGGTCCCGGCTGCTGCAGAAGCAGCCCATGTGGGGCACAGATGGGGGACGCGATGCATACAGACAGAGACAGACAGGGAGGGGTCTCTCTCACCCACCCATGCACCATCCGGATTCTCTCTCATCGGGTGTTCAAGTCAGGTCAGCTGTGATGAAGTTTTCTCGTACGTGGCTCCGTGCGCTGTGGAGGCAGCCGGCCGTAGACGGTTTTTTGGCCTGACTGGGTCGACCCCTCCTCTACTTCTGTGTACACGACGAGAGGATCTGTATGCTCGCTCCATCCACTCCATGTCTGCGTGCGAAGTGTGTAACTGCCTTGGCTTGGTGGGCTCACTTGTGCCTCTCTCCCTCTCTGTATCTCCCCCCTCTGCGCCTCTGTCTACATGTGTGTCTGTGTCCATGTTGACATTCGCAATTCGAGAGCTGACACGCATCCCTCCATGTACGGCTGATGTGCGCACACACGGTGCGTGGCGGCAGCTGTGGCGGTGCGTGTGAGTGATGCACGTGTGCAAACCTGGATGGATGGGTTGAGCATTGGTGTTGCATGTCTGGTATGTGTGCAGTGAAGAGTCGGCACACGCGACATGAGTGCCTGCATGTGTGAGAGTCCGTATGTAAGCTAGAGTGCAGACGTGGTCAAGACCTTGTCGGCTGTGTCCGTGTGCGTGTGACCCTGACGCATGCTCGTGTCTCACGTGATTTCCTCTGTCGTTCGAATCCGCCTCCGATTTACAGAGAAATTCTCTTCCCTCGGTACTGCAGCCAATTGGAGGGACTTCTTGAGCGACGCCCGCTCCCTCGTCACCGCCTGCCGGTGCGCCAACGACATTCGAGCTCCGTCATCTCATCATGACGTTTGATACATGTAGCAGGGTTTAGGGTTTGTCGAGAAATCCTCGAGATGTGACGGATTGTCGGGCATTTTGGGTTTTTTGACGAGCTGCCCATCTGCTTCCTCTCCTCGCCGCCCCATAGGACCGTTCAGTGCGGGGCGCCTGCTATGAAGACATGTACAAGACTATTAGTCGATGTATGCTACAAAGTGGACCGCAAGTTCAGCGGACTCGCACGCACCTGCGGCATTCTCATCAACACCGTCAACCGATACCTGACCGAGGCGGTCATCGATCTGAGCATCGCCAAGATCCCCGATGCCTTCCAAAGAGCCAGGCATACGCAACCAAGATATACAGCATCGTCAGGGTCAGCAAGAACGAGGCGGGATGTCCATCGATGTGTGCGCACTCTGTCTGCATGGCATGCAGCTCGATGAGATGATTGGCACGCAACTCACGATACTCGAGGCCCACATGGCGGAGCGAAAGATGCTGTCCGACGTCTTCGCCGGCCTCATGGCCATCTACCACCCCGTCCTCTAGACACTGCCCACCGAGGGGGAAGACGGCTGTGTACGAGAGCCGAGTCGAGGAGCTGCGGCGGCTTCTGGTGGCCTACGAGCACGAACACGAGGACCAAGAGGCCGATAGCCAGCTCTGCGCCACCTTGCCGTAAGCCAATTGGATACGAACAAAGGCAGAGAGAAATGTCTGTCATTTGTGTCCTTCTCTGTGTGTTGTGTGTTCTCTCTTCGTGTCTGTCAGTGAGTACGTGAGAGAATCGTCCACCCAGGAGCACTCTCCTCCTGTCCCATTTGGTCGAAACGGAGTCACCCATCTCTTGCTGTGCTGTGTTGTGTTGTGTTGTGTTGTGTTGCAGGACCGAGCTCAACAAGATGAAATACGAGCTCGCCAGGCTCCAAGACGAGAGCGCACTGCACCGGTAACGCAGACACATGTAATTCAACAGTGTGCGCACGGTCATCGCTGTGTGTTTCATTTCATCAGGGAGCTGGAGGCCGCCCGCAGTGAGCTGACGACAGCCTGCCGAGAGCACCACAAGGAGCTCATGGAGGTCAAATACGAGCTCTGGTTAGCTCCCACAACAATGCACTCACGCAAGCTGACGTGGCGTCATCCTTCCCTTGCTCTTTGCTTGTGTACTCAGGGGGCTGGAGGAGGCTCACCGCGACCTCAACGCCGCCATGGAGCAGGCCACACGCAGCCACCAGGCGGAGCTGGATGAGCACAAGGCCCAGTGCGAGTGAGTGATAACGAACGACGAAACGACACAGCTGCAGCTGCATCGTCCATAGATGGATGGATGGATGGATGAATGTCCTGTCTGTGTTGTTGGTATTCTGCCAACCGACAGGGAGCTGGAGAGCCGAGTGGAGGTCAAGAGCCGCCGGTGCAGAGAGCTGTCGGACGACGTCAACCAGCGCGACGACGCAATCCGGTAGGTATTGTGGCATGCATGCCACAATTGTTGCCGACCATTTCTGAGCACATGACTTGTATGCTGCTATGCTTCACTGTGTGATGGGTGCTTCAGCCGGCTGGTGCAGGAGAAGGGCGAGTTGGACAAGGCGTTGGCGGCCAAGACGCAGGAACTGGAGCGGCTGCAGACGGCCCATCGGGGCGCCACCACAGCCACCATGCGTCTTGCCGACGAGCTGCGCCTTGCCAAGGAGGAGGCCGCCGCCCTCCGCCTCGCCAGCAGCCTGCAGGCCCCGCAGCTGCGGCAGCTGCAGGGTGCCTGGAGCGGCCTGCAGGGTGTGGTGAGGCTGGCGATGAGGGCGACCATCGCCCGCCTGCAGGACCGTCTGGCTGAGCAAGACGATGAGCTCAACGACGTGCAGGTGCGGTGGCTGGGTGGGGCAGATCAATACGCGACCAATCCGCTCACGGATGTGTATTATTCGTCTTTCCTTTTGCTCTCTGCATGTCCGCTTCAGGCGTCGTTCCGTGCTGAGGTGGAGGAGCTGCAGGGTGCGCGCGAGCGGGAGGTGCAGGCGGTGCGTGGTGCCCTGCAGGAGACACGAAGCCAGCTCCGTGACACACGCAGTTCGCTGGAGGTCGAAAGGTCAGTCAGCTAATGAGGGTAACACCACACGGACAGTACACACACCGATTTATCATACCGCCCTTGTTTGGTCGCCAGGATTGAGTCCGAAGAGACCATCAGCAGCCTCCGCCAGACCGTTTCAGAGCATCGACAGTTGCAGGTGCGTCCGTGTGGGTGTGGATGCACCAAAGGGCGGGGGCATGTCGGGATGGGTGTGGCTGCTGGTGTGTCATGTGTGTGGGTGCAGGAGTCCAATGCCGAGGTGCAGGCGCGGCTACAGGAGCAGACCTCTCGCAATCTCGAGCTGCAGAAAGCCCTCGACACGGCCCAGCAAGCTCGCACGCGGACGGCACTCGGCCGCCTCGTGTGTAGCCTGCATCGCGCCAGGCTGAGGCGGAGCATTGGGCAGTGGCAGCGAGAGGGCGCCCATAGCACCATCGTGCAGGGGCAGAGGGAGGGGGGGCTCCAGCGCATCGCATCGACCCTGAGAGTGGCTACACATCGACACCTCTCAACGACATTCACACGACTGCTCTCGCACGTAAGGCACACCACAGCACAACACGACACACACCATGGGATGTTATCGATGAATGGATGCGTGTGCCGCCTCACGGCCAGTCTGCCTCGCCCAGCGACGACCAGATGGCAGTAGACAGTCATGTCGGTGGGGGTGAAGGTGATGAGTCGGTGCCGTCGTCATCAGCACACGACCGTGCCGCGTTGCCCGATGGACCCCCAGCACCGGTACGACAGCACCAGAGATACACAAATGATATATGGCGTCATGTCGCTGTGGCGTGTGGGTCAGATGCAGATGGTTGGCGTATCCGAAGTACCCGTAGGCACGTCGCATGCTCTCGACGACCACCTCCACCACCAGCAGCAGCAGGTACAGTACACCGATAGTGAGAGGCCAGGAAGGCGCCATCAGATGCGCACGTCTGTCTGTCTGTCTGTCTTGTGCCATGCAGAGTGTTGTTTCCATAGTGGCCATGATGGGGGCCCAGCCGGGCCCTGAGATGCCCAGCGGACATCCGCCGTCTGATGCGGCAATGGTCGGTCCATCCGCACAGTCGTCAGATGGGTGGACTGAGAAAGACGATGAAGAGTGGAATAAGGGGCTACAATCGCTCAACGATTTCCAGGCGCCGGGCATGCTCACTCCCCCTGCCCCGCCACCACCTCCACCTCCACCCCCACCTCCGCCACCTGTGCCGCCCCCTCTGTTTCACCCACCCATTCACGGCGTTGCCTTTCCACGGCCGCCGTTCGTTTATCCCCGCCCCCCTTTGGCGCCTCACAATCCCCTGCCAGCCGTCATGCCGCCCAGCACTGCCGCCCAGCCAAATCCCAACACGGCCCCCATGACACCCCCAGTTTGTCGACCATTCGGACAGGCGGGGCCAAACACACCTGGCCGGCCATCGCAGCAGCACGGCGGAGCGAAGTAGACGGCACACAGAAAAGTGCGGCGGGCGGGCAGAGAGGATGGGAGTGCGGAGGTAGCAAACGAGGTCTAGCTCACCGTGGCCGTCCCAGCAAGTGGATGGGGCTGCCGACGTGCGGTGTGATGTGTTGAGTATAGATGGGACTGTGTGTGTGCAGATGGACTGACTGATACACGTGACGTGAATGGAATGGATGTATTCAAATCATACCTATCCCTTCGAGAGCATTCCACTATAGGTAGGTCCATCTGTACACCTCACACCCACACACAGCCATCCCTTTCCCCCGAGTCACCCAGTCGTCTCCCCTATCCACACACTCCCAGCCCCCACCCCCACCCTCACCGTCACCCACACACACGCGATGCATCACTCCACGGAACCAAAGACGGGAAGCCACGGCAACAAACCAGACAGGGAGGCAGGCAGACAGGCAGATAGTGAGGCAGCAAAGGAGAGGCCACGGCCAGCCAGCCAGATAGCACCAGCTCGTGTGTGTGTCAGACACCCGACACACGCACCTCCGCCCCCCTGTGTGGCCCAGCTAACCCCGCCGCCCGACCCCCAGCACACTTATCCCCCAGCACACTTATCCGATCCCTCTACGCCGCGCCGCCTTGGTGGCCTTGGCAGCCCTCTTCTGCACCACCAAGGGGACAGCACAAACAGCACCACACAACACACTATACAGCTGTCGTGTTGGCGGGTCTGTGTCCTTGTACCTGCAGCAGGTGGTCTCTGTACCAATGGCTCTGTACTGGATGGCCATGGCGCCAAAGTCCCGCCCCTCCTGAGTGCCGCGCAGAGAAGGCATCCACTGACAGAACTCCTGCAGTGAACAAACAGACGGACACCGTCGGCGCCCCTGGCAGTCAGTGCATCTGCCTCCTCTGTGCTCACATTCGGATGGTCGCGCTTGAGGCTGATGTACTTGTCCGCGAAGGCTTGCGGTGGTCGCTGTGGCCGTCGGGCATCTCCAAACCCATCGCCGTCAGCGACTGGCGGACGGCAGCTGCCAGGGGCAGCTGCAGATTCCCCCGGAGAGAACCGGATCTCGCTGATCTCACCTCCACACCGAGAGGAGCTCGCAGTTATGAGCTCGCAATTGAGGAAGGGAGACGAAGAGAGAGAGAGAGAGAGAGAGAGAGAGAGAACGATGACTACGCGCACACCCGCCGCCGCCGCCGTGAGGCAAAAACTTCTGAGTAAGGGAATCGCCTTGCCCGACATCCATGCCGACGACCCCAAGGAGGTCACGAACAAGTACGACAGCCTGAAGCGCAACCACCCGGAGGTGAGCAGGGCAGGGAGGCGCATGCACCAGTGCGCAATGGCACCAGGGGCATTGACGACGTTCATTCGTTTTGCTCTCCCACTGCAGGAGCACCGTGAGAGGATGGAGTCGGTGAGGGGCACCAAGGAGGCGACGGAACTTGTCGTCATGTTCAACGCATACAAAGAGGAGCTGCAGAAGGTATGTCAGACGCACATCCATCCACACACGGAGTACGTGACACTCGGTGTGCTGTGTGGGCCGCTCGCCGTTTTCCAGAAGTGGGAGGCCACCAAGGATGGCGAAGGCCGCCAAGGCCGCCAAGGCCGCCAAGGCCGCCAAGGATCCTGCCAGCACCAGCCGCCAGCAACATCATCAGGAGAGGGAGAGACGCGAGCGCGAGCGTGAGCATCCGGAGCGTCAGCCTTCGGCCCCCCTCGCCGCCTCCGTCTCGGCGTCGCTCCCTCCCGCCGGCCTGCAGACGTCATGGGCGCCGTCGATCGGCAGCAAACAGCCGAGGATAGCCACTGTGGGTGGCACCCCCTACCGCCCGGCCCCCACCTGCGCCCCGCCGCCCATGCCGCACGCCACCACCAAGGCCCACCACGGCGGCAGCCAGCTGGCGGTGCTGGTGTCCCACTGGGGGGAAGGGGAGGATGGCTTTTACGCCAGCTCCCTGACCCAGTGGGACCTGGCCTACTGGGAGAGGAAGGGGCCGTGGTGGCTGGTGTCGTGGGAGGTGCCGGAGGCATCCTGCTGCTGTGTGGAGATGGGGAGGAGCATGGTGCGAGGGGTGCGGATGGCGGGGGCGTGGCTCGAGGCGGCGGCTGACGATGTCGGCCGCCGCCTCAAATCCCTCCTCCATTGAGGGGCGGTCGGCCTCTCGGGCGCTGTCAGCGGCGTCGGAGATGGTCGGCCGCACGTTCTTTTTCTTTTTCGCCCCCTCTCCCTTTTCTTTCAGCCCCGCCCCCCGTCGCAGCCTCTTCCGATCCCTCTCGCCCTCTCTCCCAGCCCCCCAGTGACCACCACCACTATCACCACCATGCCAACCCACCCCAACCCGATCGTCGGCATCTGACCACC